AATGTGAACAGACTAGTGCGGATCAATGCAGACTATGAAATGGATAGAGATGGTGCGGCTCGGGCCCACGGCTACGGAAAGGCCTGACACTTTCGACGGTGATAAGGTGAGCGTGTCAAAACACCGTTAGCGCTTCCACGGCGCACCTCGCTGCCGGCTTTTAGGCGGCTAGATAAAATAATCATTATCCATTATCAATGAATTATCAAATGTCTGTTGGGCATTTATAACCTAATCTAACTACCTACCCTACCTACACTGCCTATAGAGCTATGATGTGCGTTATATTTGGATTTTATTGCAAATCCAAGTATTTTATAATTTGAGTTCATCAAAATCCATAAAACTGGGCATCGTGAACAATCAGCATTATTCTGTAATGATGTTTGTTATAAAATGTCAGTATGAAATATGAATGCCGAGATCCGCAGACCTTATGACGTCTTGACATTGAACTCAAATGTTATCATCATGTACTTAATCATTCAGCAGTTAAAATATATTTTTAACAACATAAGGAACAAAATTATTTTGTAGTTCTTACCTGTATAAGCTAACTTGTAATTAACCTAAATATTTTAACAAAAAATTCGAAAATCACGTACCTACCCGTCACCCGTGGCCATGCCGTGATTTAATCCGTATAATTTGCTGCCGCTAAGTTATTCTTACATGGGCATTAGGCGTTTGTCCTTGGTGGTCTCATTGGCTTATGTGCATAAATGAGTCCCGGCATTACCGCACCGCCGAATAATTCAATAAATAACACCCCGAATGAATAAATAACACCATGACATTCGTCCTGACATCTTGGAGACTGGCTCTCTATTTATAGAGAGAGAGGCGAATGACCGTCGTATGCCAGCATTCGCAAGGTTGGCTCTAGGAGCTGTAGCCATGTAGGGGCATAGGTACGCGTATTATAAGCTGCGAGCTGTAAAACGTAGTTATTAAATTGTCTTTCAGTAGCCAAAAACAATAAGTTCGCAAAAATAAGGAATGCGTAAAGTACGCGCGTGAGTTATTCTTAGTAAGTACTTTTAGTATTTCCATTGATTATTATCAATCTATATTTTATCTTTTCTTAGAAATTAATAAGCAAGTTCTTTATAGTTATTCTAATATATTTTATTCGTAATACAGTTGAAAATGTTAAAAGAAAATGTCTCATTTTGACCTACTTGTTCTCCCTGAAATTATTGATCCTAATCTGAAAACTATCACTGCTATTCCCTTTGATAGAGTACAATTTATGCCCCCATACGTGATTATAATAAACCAGTATTCACATAAAGGGTTTTCTAGTAGAGTTAAGATTACAATAATCTTGAAATACGCTAATACGCTATCTGTATAACCATACATACATATTGTTAATATCGCTGCCTAGAAAAAAAAAACAATAACCTAAAAATTAATTAACAATTATTTTAATGACTCGGCAAACCTTTCTAATCCTACTAAAACATTTTTGTTATCAAATTGTACTAATTTGACGAAAAACCTTCATATTTCAAAACTTTTTTTTTGTTATTTTTTTTTTTATTAACGATCACATTATTATATTGTGTATAAAAAACTAAGATACAGTTATAACTGTTTGCTCGTAGAACTAACATAAATTAAGCGCTCTACCACAGAATCTACATTCATGTAAATGAAATAGTTTGGCTACAAAATACGTAATTAATATTTTTTACGACTTAATAAACATAAATTATGCTACATAGTTGAAATATGTTTGTTGTTCCTGACATACTAATATAAGAAAAATTATCATAAAATATTGCCCATTTGTACACACTAACTCAATATTTATTCAGCTGAAAGGACTCTACACGAGTTCATAAGTGTGCAATTAAGGTTTTAAATTTTAATCATAACGATCTAATGGCAAAAACAAAGATAATTTTGCACGATCATCGATGGTTTGATGGCATGCACATGATAATGGTGATAACATTATCTAAGTTCGTAACGTGGATGGGGCTTATGGATAAATTAATTGGCCAATGTCGATAGCGGCATGTTAGAGTGTCGAGACAGTTGTCAAATATTAAAGAATATTCCGACAATAATTAAAAAAATATTCATCATCAGAATCATCGTGAAAATAATAATTTATATTTTTATTAATTACTTGCATAAAATTAAAAAGTATTTATTTAGGCGTGGTCAACGTGAGTGTCGTCATTTTCTGCACTTGACTTTTATTACTTTTTGATCTCATAAAACATGGGATAATCCGGTGATTGCTTACTTATGTTTATTAGTGGCAAATATAAGATAACGCTGATAAACATATCAATAAAATTAAGCTTTCTTGTCAACGTGTATGGTCCGACTCAATCGGTCTACTCATATCGGTATCGGTGGACGTAGCCACATGCGCTCGAAAAAGTCGGGACTGAAATTCTGCATGGACGTAAAATTTGGAAAATAACTGCACTGAGCAACAGCCAAGATGGCGCCAATTGGAATCCAGCCTTGAATTTCACCCCCAGAAATACACCTGGTGGAACTTGAAAACAGAATCAGACATATCAAGCGTTTTAACCAATAAATACCCAAGGGAGTAAAGTTTCAATGAACGCCGAAGACAAGAAGCCGTTAATAAATATGCCGATATTGCGCCTGTTTCGAAAAGTGGTGCGGAGGGTAATAAATAAGATACGGAATGCGGAGTTGGTCGTGTTCAATGTGGCCATGCGCAGGAGACGGGGCACCATACACTCCATTTGTGGCAAAGATGGTGGGCATTCTAGGAATATTAACAGCACTTTGGGTTGCGTCAGGAGATCTACAATCCATTCCATATGCGAGGTGAGAAATTAATTTGGAGTTATTTTAAATGAAGACTCCTTTTATCTTAAAATTATAAATCGCTCCCTCGAAATTATTTACTTTCATGAATCTTTTTTATACACGTATTCAAAAATTGAGTAACACAATTTCTAAACGTTACAATATTTCCAAATAACTTGAAATCACATTTAGGTAGCAAATGATTCTTCTCGCAAGTTCTATATCAATTAGTTAACTACAAAAACGATGCTAACGATACGGAAATTTCAACAATTTTAATGATCAGCACAAAGATGTATTCAAACGTAATTTGCACTGTGTTAAATACATAATAGTGATTCTATTTTTCTATTTCATTATTTAAGTGGTTCCCTAAACTGGTTTTTAAACTTGATTCGTGAAATTACTAGCTGCCTTATTTAGATGCATTGACCTACAGTTTGTTTCGACGATTTTACCAAAGCAAACAATTCCACATGATGTTTAAAAATAACTCATTAAATTAACATATACCTACGTGTTACCACATCATTGGCCCGTATTATGAAATGATACATAAGAATAAATTCTTGAGTTTAAAGAAAATAAATAGTTTATTTTCTGGTATCTGATTTCAGACTTTTCTAAGCATCATTTTGTAATACGGGCCCTTGGTATTTTCAAGTTTATGATCGCTTAGGTAATACTTATTAGTTAAGTATTTGTTAAGAATGTGTTAAATCGTTAAATTAAGATATGTTTAAATGTTTTGTAAGTAATCCAACCAGCACTTTTAAACCTTGAATATATATTTTTTCGGTAAAGTAAGTGCGTTGACCCATTTCCGTATGGGACAGGATCGATTTTAACACAACTTCTTACCCGACTGCGCCAGGAGGGTTATGTTTTTTGTCTGTTTTATAGAAGTGGTAAGGTTTAAAAGTGTAATTGAACTTAACACCAATGTTTTGTGTATTAAACCTGTTCACCTAATTGGCATAATAGTTTGTTAGCTGATGTAGCGCGCACGCGCTGTGCACGCACTTTCACTATGGACTTGGATGTGAACTGTAGTGTTCGGGAATGCACGTCATTAGAGCATCATCACAGCTCATCAAGTCATTAGAAGTCATTTGCATCTGATTTCTCAATTTTACGTCACCATATTGCATGATAATTGCACTCTGTGAACTATATTGTTGTAAGAAACTCGTCTGCATTATGCATGTACTTATGGTAGAATGAGTTTTATAATCTGTTGTTATAAAATATTGATGATAAAATTGAGTGCAGGTTGAAATACTTGCTATGATAGGTAATGCAATAAAATACTCGTATAGGTGTGTTGGTACGGGTTAACGATATTATCAAATAACACGCTATAAAAATATTGTATGTTAATGACGTATAACACAACAATTGACTCTACCATAGTGTGTAAATATTATGGAGAATATTTTAATACTTAACTATGTTGTTACTAACAATGTATTTATCGCCTTTGTACCAGCATTTGTTGATATATTTATGCAGGTTTTATCTAGGTACCTATATTGTGTAATTTGTCCATGAAAAAAAGATAGTTGTTTTCTAGAACTGCAATCAGTTATCCTATATGCTCGACTGTTTAACGTTGTCGTATGAAGCCATCGCTACTTAGATCCTTCCAAATAAAGATCAATTTGGCACTTTTTGTGTAAAACAAAGTTGTTATGTAGTGAACGCTACATGTCTGATTCGTTCGAACCCTAAACACTTCAGTATTTGTTATTACATTTTCCTATTTGCATGTGTTCAATAGTTGAAATTACAATCAGTGTTATTTTGGCATTTGCTGCCGTTCACAGTCGTACTCTCGCCTTCAAATGTCAAAATGTCCGTTTGCATTTCACAAGTTCGGTTTCGAAGCCGTTTCACTATCAAGGTGGTTGCTGACTTGTGTGTTAAAGTGTAACTCTAAACCAATTTGGTATAATAAGTCGTAAATAGTTTAACTTCAGTTATAATTTTGTATTCAAGCAACGAATGTAGCTACCTACATGACCACACTTTTTAAAACGTGCCAAAAAACTACAATTACTTTGCGCAGAACTGGTTTCTGACGTATCGCTCTGTGCGTTTACACTGGATAATCTGGTCAGTCGCCACCTTAATAGTACGTGCGGCGTATGAGTCGAGTAAGGTCAAACCAACTAAAGCAACGTGTTTACGTGTAGGTGCTGTCGATGAGCGATGAGCTGCGGCGCGCTCTGTACTCGTCGGGCGCCTCCATCGACATGGAGTTCTCGCCGCCCGACCTCATTGGCACGTCGGAGATATTCACAATGGAAATCAGGTAAGATACAACATGAAACACAGTCAGCGTCAAATAGTTCGTGATACCCACAGTAGCCAACAAGTTCGCAACACGTCTTTGTTACAATTGGAATAAGGTTGATAACTTTTTGGCCTCTTTGACGCTGACTGTACACATAATGTTCAGACAACAGCAGCACATCAAAGCAAACACCTTTATGATATTTGTGATAAGTGCGTTTTTGCAACAAAAGTCTACAGTCTGATGTGCTACCGTCTGTTCAGGGAAAATACACAAACATTTGACGAGCGGTGCGCTGCACACCGCTCATGTGCATCGTCCCACGCTGTAACAAAGGTATAAAGAAACTAAAACAACATCAAGTTAAAAAAAACTCATAATAAGATTTGTTATTTTTTTAGGTGAATCTTAAACACATAAAAAGTAGGTTATAAAACTACTTTTAGCTCATTTTATGAAAGATAAATAAACATTAGCACCCAATCGATAGCACTGATTAATGATATGTCTTGAATTGCTTCATTATGATCTTACGATATTATTGTATCGTTTTTTCAAAGACCATTATTGTCATTAATAAGCATTTAATAATTGGCTGACCTATTGGTTTTCAGTTTCCAAATACCTTATCTTCTTGATAAATAAATCGATATCAATCAAAACACTATCTATCGCTCAATTTTAGTGTGTGTTTATACATATTTTTATTATAATTAGCGTTTCTGGTATTCTAATTGGGTATATGATGTGGAATCGGGCCATTATCGTTTTTTAAATCGGCATTTAAATATATTTTAGATTAGCAACTAAAATGAAATTCATGCTAATCGAATTCTATTGTGTAACTACCCACTTGTGATCTTAATTCGTTAACTCATCTCGTTACTTATCATTTATTTATTTTTTGTTTTTAGTCTTGGACGAAATTAATTCGTCCAAGTATTCGGTACTAGTGAAGATATTTAAAACAAATGCTATTGTTTTAGAGCACTAACCTAACTCTGCCATTTTCTATAAAATGTGGTTTTCAGATGTATATTATCAGATTTTTAACTTTACTTTTGAAGAATAAGGGGTTGGTCTTTAAGTTTGAAATCATGAAAGTTAATTTATTAATTTGACCTCTTGTGACAGAATTAGATTTCGGAGTCAAATCCACTGCCAGAGACTGTCATTGGTCATTGATATGCAAACAGTCCGGTCAGTCCAGTCGTGTTAAACCCCGCCTCCGTTTTATAATCGAGTTACATTCCTAAAAGTGTGTAGATACAGACGTTTGGTGTCAATGCCACTTTTTGTCCTTAATTTGAACAGTTCTGCTTTTTGTCTTGGATGATTACAAGCCAATCTTAACTTTAAGACAGATTAAACCCGTTTCCGTACACTGTTAAGATACATTATGTCATATCTTATTCATACTGTCAGGTCTTCATTTGACAAATATTTCTCAAGTAAGGGACTTTTTTTGCACAGCAACAATTTTCAAGATAAAATAAGATTGTTAGTTTCAAGTGTAACACATGCTAGCTTTGACCTAGGTAACTAGATTGGCCTGTTATTTGACTATGAAAAAAATGTGACTGCTAAGTAGGTACTCATTAATAAATTATTTATTTTTAATTAAGATACAATATTCACATCTTAATTATTTGCTAATAGAAGCAGCAATCGACATACTAAAATACAATCTGAAAGTATAGTCATGTCATGCAGTCATGAATAATCATCTTGAAACTATTAAATATCATTTTGCTGTCATATAAAAACGAGCTACGTTAATATAAAAACTTCTAAAGTAGGTGGCTAGACAAGCTGTTAACTAAAAATAGCTCTTTTTTATCATAACTTCCAATCACGTCAACATAATGCACACGTAAATGCAGACAACGTTTCATCTTGTCGGTCGTTTGGTGTAGTGATTCTGGACGGATTACTATGCCGAGAGGTCCCGGGTTCGATTCCCGGCCGGGCAGAAATTGAAATGATGAATTTTAATTTCTGTGACGGGTCAGGGTGTTACTATGTATAATATGTATGTATTTACAAAAAAAAAGTATTTAAGTATGTTTATATCCGTTGTCTAGTGCCCATAGTACAAGCTTTGCTTAATTTGGGACTAGAAGCGTAGCGTACTACGCAAGCAATATAACCTGAGGTGGAATTGTGTAAAGCAATCGTAATCATTTGACAGTTCATAACGTACGATATAGTCAGTTAAACAAAGCGTTTGACAGAGTGATTGTACGTTATGAACTGTCAAATGATTACGATTGCTTTACACAATTCCACCTCTGTTTACATTACTTATGGCGTCGCTGCTGTCACCATTTTCTGTCACGAGCAATGTGTTCTGTTTTTGGGCATATTGCTGCGACACCGGCCCCGCCCCCTTGTCACATCTCCCTTTAGTTTCTGTGATCTGTGCCTAAAACCATCACCTTAGGGTTCATTTCTCACCGTTTTTTTTCAATCATTACAGAGAGAAACTCTGCACGGTGCTGCCTGCGCGCGCGCAGGGCTACATGTGGTCGCTGACGTTCAGCACGAGCCAGCACGGCTTCTCGCTCGCGTCGATGTACCGCAAGATGCAGCGCGTTGACAGCCCTGTGCTGCTTGTCATACAGGATACTGACAACAATGTGAGTATTGAGTAAAGTATACAGGGACACACAGGGATCCATTTTTTTATATTCAAATCTCTTTTGGATGTTGGCCCTTCTCAAATGAGCGTGGATGGCTTGGTGGAAAAGTTGGACACAAATCTACCATTGTTTCGTTCTTAAGTGTCTAAATGGCGTGGAAAACCATGCCTAAAAATCTGATTCCAGAATTCTAGTTTTTTGTCTAGCTTCCCAGCATTGACTTACATTATTATCCCAATAGGACAGGTGCTGGGAAGTGATAGGGTTAAAATAATGAAGGCACGGGTAAACAACAGGCGTTATTGTATGGAGTTTGACAGACTTATCACGTTTACAGTAAGATGGTGCAAGCCAGCCTAAAAAGCCTTAAATTTTATTAATGACTTCTGTGTATTTCTTCTTAGCTTACCCACTTGTATCCATTTAAAATATTCTGTGTGCCAAATAAACAATTTTTTCTTTACCCTTTTATACAAGACTTATGAAGAATCACCTATTTCCAGGTGTTCGGCGCGCTCACCTCATGCGCTCTGCATCCCTCCGAGCACTTCTACGGCACGGGCGAGTCTCTGCTATTCTCGTTCCAACGCGTGGAAGAGGCGCGCCGGCCGCCGCCCGCCGACGCCGACACCGCCGACAAACCCAAGGAGAAAGAGGAGGTCATCAGCGACGGGAAAGAGGAGAAGGGAGGTGGGTGGACTGATTTTGATATGAGTTTTTAGATGTTTGCGGCTGACTGACCTTTTCCTATAAAGACTAAAAATGCAGTTATATGACTTTAATGTGAACTTGAAGAAAGTCGGTCTTCTTCTTACCTATTCAGTCCTTTTGATCAGAAATGTTTTTGATGGCTGACATAAGTTCTTCGTGATTGCGCCCGATTGAAAAGGACTAACAATGTAGGTATAATAATAATAATAAATACTATTTATTGCACACCACATAAAAAGAACAGAAAGAAAAGGAACACATAAGGTACAATTAGGCGGTCTTATCGCTATGAAGCGATCTCTTCCAGACAACCTATAGAGAGGACAGTTACTTAAAGATACAAGGTATATGATCTTAAAGTGAAAGAGTCTACTTTTTTAGTATTTGTTTCTTCTTCAGTCCTTTTGACCAACTTCACTCTACGCCCAAGACTTAACTCCAGACTTAAGCAAACTTTCTCCTGATACCTTCTGTGTGTGTGCTTCTTGACTTTACTTCTTTAACTCTATTCCTATTATTTTCAGACCAACCACCACCAGTTAAAACCAAGTTCAAGTATTGGGGATGGACCGGTGACAACATGTATTTCATTCGAGGGAGCAACGACAACATATCTATCGGCGCTGGCGAGTGAGTATACCATTTTGTTTCTTCCTTTTGCTGCAGATTAAAAGTGATTAATGTTATTAAGTTTCCATGACCTTAGTTTACTTTATTAATTGTTTATAAATGACAGTTCTAATTTTCGAGATAAAAATAGATGTGGTGAATGAGTCACTGGCATTTCGATACTACAAAGTGTTTATTTATTTATTAGGATCATGTTAATTAGAAAACGTTTACGTGACACCTTATGCGTATATATGTGCTAATGTTGCCTGATGAAAAATGTGATGCATTTTTACCGTCGATACTTTTACACATTACTTTTACCCAAACTCACGATTACACGGCCATTCTATTTGATTTTTATTTATAGAACCTTCTATTTTTTGCTTACTAGAATTGTCGCGTAAGCAGTGCATACGCGAGTATGCGTTGTGAGAGGTCATGTCTGAAGCTTCAACCACACCAACGCGTGCAGCCCCCCTAGATAAAACGCACTTTTTGATCGAATCGCAAATCGAATCCGTCAAAACTCCATACAAAAAAGGGGCTTTTCGACCACTTTTCGACTGGTTTGCGATTATAATTTGCACTTTGTCTAGACCCACAGATCGCCATCGCCGGCGCGATCAAAGGCCAATGATGATAGGTCGCGCGACCTATGACAGTTCACGCGACTTGTCATTGGTCTTTGATCACGCCATGATCGCCATTGCCAATATTACAAGCGTTTTTTTTATGCAAGACAAGGCAGATATTTAACCGCAATCGCACCTGTATGCATCGATGTATGTATGAACATAATATTAATCTAATCGTTTGTCCGCAGCGGTAAATTCGGGCTATGGCTGGACGGCGACCTTTACTTAGGCCGCACGCAGCGCTGCACCACGTACGGCAACGAGCCGCTGACCACGCGCGAGGACTTCATCGTCAAGATCATGGAGTGCTGGACCTTCATCTGAGCACGCCCCGCCCCCGCCCCGCGCCCCTCTCTACTTTCAAATCGATAAGCTTTAGACTATCTTATGAAAATTTGCTACGAACGTTTGACACTTTTACAAATCAGTCCTTTCGACTTTAGGTACAGATGAGTCTGAAAATGATTTTGTACTCCGCGACTCGAAGGCGACGGCGCGCGTCGTCGCTCGGCCGAATCGACTCCGCGCATTTCTAGTCAAACGTGCCGAACCCGAGCGATCTCCGGTCGATCATCCGGCGTTCGGATGGAGTGCGCCGGCGAGCGCGGCGCCGCGGCCTCGAGCGAGTGCACGAATCCTAGTCAATTGTCATTCGTATGTAAGTGAAGTTAGCGGGGCCCGCCCCGAGAGCACGGAACGGAAGCATCGCCCGACGCGCCGCTCGACTACTCGAAACAGGCCGATATTACGTGTCAATTCATACAATTAACTGTGCATTGTTATTAAGGATTAAAAACATATTTGTAACGATAAAATCATTGTATAATGTTATGTAGAACTTTATATGTAACGAAGAATCGTTGTGTTTAGGCGCCGCTTGTGTGTTGTCCAGTGTTGAACATTGAACATATGCGGGCAGTCTGTAGTCTCGTGGATGCTCACAAATTTGCTGGCAATGATGCTGAATCTATTCTTGCCGAATTGGTGGGTGGTCTCGATCGAAATGTCGTATTACCAAAAATATGTTTGTGCGTTTAGTGCTGGAAACACAGTTGGCAGTATAAATAATAAATACTTTTTGTGTAGTAGTGGATTTTGTATGTTTTGTTGTTGGGTATGTGTTGAGTCATAATATTTAAGTTAGTGAGCATAATTATGTTACTCTTTCACTGTGATTTGATTATTATGGTTGCATTTTGTTATAATAATGAAGCATTATCACTTTATTTGTAGCAATTTGGTCAACTTAGTTTAAAGCTTTATTTTATAATTTGCGTCTGCCATTTATCAATGGTGGATATGGTTTATTTAAAAACACTGAAGTAAATGTATTAATGAACTGTTAATTCACTAATGATATATGAAATTATTTATTTTTGTGATAATATGCTTCAGTACAGAGATGAGTAGCCGATGTGTAATATTAATTAAATAGTGAAGATATTTTAAATAGTTATCCTAGAAAGCTTGATGAATGTAATCGTCATTGTGCTTAGTAATTGTGTCACTTAGCATGATGTTACTCAGAAGTATCTGGTCGTACAGCGTTAGTTCGTTTGTCCGCGCCCGCACTTGCAGCTCGGCTACCTATATCGACCTAATTTGTTTCCGTGTACATAATATACAACTTACTCCTATTCGAGATTAGTAAAGAGATATATTTTTGTGAAGACCACGCGATGACAGCGTTGTGTAAAGAAAGTACAATGGACTAGCTGGAAAGTAAATATTCAAAGTAAAAAAGTTATCTGCAATTATGCGCGTGCGTCTATACATAAGAAATATTTTGACGTTGTTATTGTTTGTGTCATCTGGAATGTCGTAGAAAAGAAACTTAGGTTTTAAAATTATATCGGCATAATTATTGTTACAAATTTATAATAACTAGACTTGTTGAGTAGCAATGAGAAATTTAATATTTATTTATTCTGTTATCATATAATTTCTGTCGTATGATCGCTGTAGCTGCATTACTTTATTGGTGATTTATTATGTAATTTATAAGTTGTTAAAATGTAAATCAAGCCATAATAATTGAGAATATATTCTTTTGAGAAATCATATATTTTATTTGCTGAATACCTAATACATTGTACTTAAGAATTAATTGGTATCAATTACGATAAAATCGGGAGCCACCTCCCCGGTTGTCATATCCTCCCCGATCGTAGTCATTGTATCCTCTCCGTTCATAATTATCTCTTCTCTCATAGTTGTCTCTCCTGTTATAGTTATCTCTCCTGTCACTTTGTTCTCGTCGGTCATAGTCCCTGTTGTGGCGTTCGTACGGATGATGACGCCTGTTATTACGACGATCGTTTCTTCGACCCGAGTTTTGAGGCACCCACCAGGACTTAATTATGGGAGGAATAGAGGGTTCAGCATTAAATACTTTCATGAATTCTTCATCTTTATCAGTGTATCTGTCTTTAAATTCCTCTTCACACTTAGCCAAGAAGTCTTTGTCTTGATCTGATAAATTTTCAGTTGAAGTCATTTTTAGTTCTGTGTTTTTGGGTATATTATTAGGGAATCAGCAACTGAAAAAAAGGAATCCATCTTAATAAAATGCTGAAAGGGTATTGATATTACCCATACATTTACAAAAACAAATTCCACAATCATTTATGGTAGCCAGCCCCAAAGTACACAATAAGGATGACATTGGACAATATTTGCTACTAAATATTTTGAAACAAGAATAGGTAAGTATGCTGCTTTTCTTCCTTTTGTACCCTTTGCACCACCGGCCTGCACCACTGGTGGTGCAAAGGGTATTTTTTAATCCCTTTTACACTACCAATAGTGCCGCCCTACCATTAACTGTAAAACGATTATCTATAATCATATTATAATATTAATATGTACATATTATAATATTAAGATTTGATTGTTTGTTTGTACTGAATAGGCTCCGAAACTACTGGACAGATTTGACAACATAACATAAAAATTAATAACAACCATTCATACCTACATACAACGAATAATTCTTAAAGTACCAGGGCAACATAATCATAAAGGAGCTATATCAAATTCTTCTTAGTTGACCCGAGAAATAAACATGGATCATAAAATAGCTCCTTTATGGTTATGTTGCCCTGGTACCTTATTCGTTGTATGTAGGATGTAGGCCCGGGGTATCGTGGTCGTGGGTCTGAAGTGAAATGTTTATAGGCACACTTACACACACACAAATTAAAACTTTTAGGTAGGTTTTGATTTATTTATAACAATTAAATTATTAAGTATTTTACAGTCTACTACTAGTTTTACAGTCGATGGTAGCACAGCACTATTTGTTGGTGGTGCAAGAGGGATTTAAAAATACCCTTTGCACCACCAGTGGTGCAGGCCGGTGGTGCAAAGGGTACAAAAGGCTTTTCTTTTAGGAAACAATTAAATGAGCTACACACTCATCATTTATCAACAAGTTACCACATGTGGTTTATACCACAAACCACAACACACCAAACTGCTCACTTGATACAGTAACAAATAAATAGCATGCCATGCCACACATCTGAGTGTGTATCATGCTTAACTTCATCATCATGGCAGTCAGTAAATCTAACATGTGAAGGGGTTTTATGATGACAACAACAATATCACATTTGAGTCAAATCAGAATTTTTAAGGAAATGGTCTTATACATAATATACCAACACCATAGTGTACAGGTTGAACATATTGAACAATACTTTTTAAATAAAATAAAACAAAGAATATGCACAATGAAAAGGAGAACACAACAATTCACTCCCGAGTATCACAATGTTGATATCAATACAAATATGATTTTATTACAGGCAATGATGATGTAATAGACACAAAATAACCCAATTCATCACAAGATTTAATTAACATCATCATGAAAAAAAAGCTTTCCCCACAAATTAGGTGTCAAGTAATCAAAAATATTTACAACTTTCTCCAATAATATATGGTAAGATTAAACCATAAAAGGCTTCAGAACTATGTAGCCTTAAATCTATGGGTCGAAACACCCATCCAACATATATCCCGCACTCGGGACAAACGCAGAGCCTCGACTCGTATCCAGGAAACCAAGAGCTTTCTTCCCACTGTAATTTATTGAAATTAACCATGACATTGAAATTTTGCATGGTTTCAACTATCAATAATTGAATGGTTTTATTGTTGCAAGAATATTACAATAAAACTTAATTTTCCAAAAAAAACCTTTACCTCGCCAACACCTTTACAAGTTGATTCCGTTGTAGTTATTAAAGGATATTCAAAAAATAAACCGCTTAAGAATTTCTGAACCAAGATATCCTGATTGAAAAACACTTTGTCATAAAAGCTATGACGAGACATGGGGCTGGATTTTGAGATGATGTGGTTTGTTTTACATATTTCATTTCCGCAATTTCGACATAGAACTAACTCTGAAATAAAATAAATTGTACAACAGCCGACTACAATAAACAAGTAAACTTAAAAATTAAGCCAAAATTACCAACCGTGAAACGGATTTGAGTACTGCACTAAAGCAATATTTTCATCACTTAGAACCTGGTCGATTACAACTAAAAGCAGCAAAACTTTAGAACTAATCATCACACTGTTATAATACGAACGAAATTCATAGATTTCTTAATAAATACAATTTTTGTTATATTGATATAACCTCAAAAATAACAATTTCTGACGTGTGACAAAAATGACGTGTCTTTATTGCTATTTGACCGTTTCCACCAAACGTAAAAAAAAAATGTATCCTGCTGCACAGATGTCTACGGCTAATCAACCTAGCTTCAAAGCAAAAACGAAAGTTTAAAAAATGCAAATTGACAGATAGGCAAAAGTGACATTAATGACATTTCTAGTTTATTGACGAAAACGAAAAAAAGGCCACGAAATCACTGAAAAAATATTGAAATAAAGCATATTACTTGGATATCAAGATGTCTGAAAATGTTAATATTGATCTTTCAGGAGAAATGAACGCAACAGTTGAAAAGAAGGGTTTCCAAAAGTATGTGAATGATATGGAGCTGTAAGTTTTACTAACATTTTGTTGTACGTGGTGCAGTCGCTTTGTTTTGTTATTGTTTCCTTATCATTGGTATGTAAAAGCTGCCAATGTTTCCGCAATGTTCATGCGTATCATTAGAACAGTCCTAATATAAATAATTAATCATGTCTGCCCTACCCACCATATCTTTAAATCCTAAACTATTTTTGCGCCAATAGTGTATTTTTTTGTGTAAAACTAATGAAATATGATAATTACAGATAATTCAATTTCAATTCTATTTAAAAACGATTTAAGAATCTGTTACTTGCCCGTCTGCTACTTTATGCTTTGACCAATAATTTCAGTTTATGGAAATTAATTACATGTTGCACTACTGCAACAATTACATACATACAACCATCTGTGTTGGGACTCCATGATTAATTGTTTTAGATACCAGAAAAAAAAATCAAATAATTTTCAGACTGCTCTTACCTACTTCACTCAAAAAATGTTTACTAACAACTTACTAATACTTTTGTATTGAGCTTTTTTATTATTTGCTAGAGCTTTGCATGCTTATTCTATTGCTGAAATTGTATTAAGAAGATTCACAACTTTATAATTATTTATTTTCTTATTTACACTTAGACTGGTGCAAACCCTACGCAGTGGGGCTGGCCCGGCCGTGGTGATGGGGATGCTTGCATCTCGACGACCATGGACCCAATTTGTTGCTACTGAAAATTTTAAGGTTTATAATTCTGTAATTGTATGTGATATTGTGAATGTACCCACTGCAAACTCGTTAGCTTTACATCAAACCCTTGTGGTTTTTAAAGCTACATATCTAAATGTAATTGTCTCAATGTAACTGTCTCTAAGTTGTTCAATAAAAAAAAAAAAGTTTTTATGTAACAGAACAGTCAAGTGTTTATATTAAAGGTTGTAACATTTGTTTACTCCAAACTTGACTGTACATAGTACATAAGGAAAAGATCGTTTATATTCAATTTAATTTTTACACATTTTAAACCAGGCACCCGGATCAGTACCGAGACTATCGCGCCGATTCTACCGCAATGTAGAATATTTCCAAGCTAATTATTTGGTCGTCTTCCTTGGATTATTTGCTTACTGCCTGTAAGTATAACTCTATTCAATTAACTGGAAGTATTTCAATCAAATTCAGCTCATACAACTGAAAACCTAATTTGCAGAATCACAACACCACTACTACTCATTGCTATGGTTGCAAGCTTCTTTGGCTATAAGAAATTGACTGCAGGACCAAATACATGGAAGGTAATTATCAGATTGTTTATTGAAATATAGATTAATATTTGAGACAGTATTTTTGTTAATTATTCATATCAATTTTCAGCGCAAAGTAAGTTAAGAATGTTCAGCCTAACTTGTTTCGATTACTTGCCTATTCTTCTTTACCCTTAACTGGTATCTGAGACACAAATTGTGATGTCCTTACTAACATTTCTAGATAATAACTTGAATGTTGAGTGTTATTTAACCTACTTTTCCTTACTTTCATAATCTGAATAGATCGGTAATTGGGAGTTGACGAAGACTCAGCAGTACATGGTAGCCGGTGCGGCTTCCATGGCCATTTGCTACCTGGCCGGTGCGGGAGCAGTTCTCTTCTGGGTACTAGGTAAGAGCACAGTATGCATAAGAGCATTTTCACGCTATGTCCAATGCGAATCTGTCAAAATAAGCGTCTAGAAAACTAATGCTCATGTGGTGAACATTTCATCTATCCCTAATTTTTAACCTTAAGGGTCACTTAAAAATAAGGGATTGATGGTGAAAACAGGTATAACTCAAGCAACAACTACAAATAGTTCTATGACCACAATTTCACAGATTGGGATAGGACGTAATGCGAATCCGATTATTCACAAGTTAGAACAATACACAGAAATACAGATCATATTACATTCACAAAAGTCCTAGGTTTGACTGAGGTCTCCAATCTTGTTATGATATTGTTAGAAACAGTGTTTCCATTACATAGTTAGCCCGTTCATTCATGCTAGTATAAAAATGCCTATGGCGTCTGACATCAATTTTCCATATAAACACAGCAGTCCATAAAAAGGTAGTATGCAATTAACATTCCAAGTTTCTAATTGTTTGCGCTTCACGCTTTATTAGGTTGCTCTAGTATTGAGATTTTCTTTTTTGCTTAAATGAGATGATACACATAACATTTCTTCATGGGTTTTATACTTTTTTTAATTTGTACTTGCCATTTTGAAAATTAAAATTAAATAAGTACCTACCTACCTAATAATAATATTGAATTAATAAACTAAACCTTTCATTGGCATATTAATAACAATCAATCTCCAGTTAGTTTCCCCAAACATTCTAACATGTTATGGATAAGGCTCAAGAGATTATCCGGCTCGAAGGACCAAAGTTTAAAGGCAAAGAATTGTCAGTAATTTCAGTCTCTTAGAAAGAAACATATTAACAGAAGTTATCTTATTCTTCTGCAGGTGCTACTGTGACGGTGGTCGCCCTCCACGCCAGCTTCTTCGACATAGAAGCCCTGCCGCAGGCGGAGGGCCCGGAACAGTTCCCGATGATCGAGCAAGTGTGACAGTGCCAGTTGCCATTCTTCTTGTCCCCTCCCGGTCGTTTGCCGCCCGGTATACTGCCTTTGCCGAAATGATATTTAAAACTTTTGCTTCAGAAAAAGCATTGAGCTTTTTTTGTAAGCAAAAAATCTATAAATCAAAATCGCGTTGGTGAATACAGTGCTAACACGCTAAATAATGACTTTTTAAATTTAAACTACTTGGGATTCAGAATAGTAAACATAAATTGACTCATAATAAACGGGCTATTTGAAAACTAAATCGCAAATTGCAGTCCTGACTGTCTGAATCGCACATAAGAAAAATATTTTTAAAATATCTTTAAAGTAGTTTTTTGTTTTATATAATGAAAGTACTTAATTCAGTTTTATGTTTATGAAAGTGGGAAAATTCTGACAACAAGGAAAATAAGAATGTCCCACTTAACCCTCATGGGATTACCCTGGATCCTAGACTCATGTCTAGGATCCAGGGTAGTAGCTGCCATATTTTTTACATACTTGAGCACTTACTAAATACTTACCCACCGCGACGTCGAAAAACTAGCATAATATCTGTAATAAGAACGTTTTAACTCTAGATGTCGGTGTAATGTGGGGACCGGGAGTTGCAATGAAAGTAGTTTATACTGTGCGATGCGAGTATATTGAGTCAGTCAGTTTACGCAGCAACGTCAAATATATAGTCTTAATTTATGTTAGTGTGAGGGTGGCGCATACACATACTACACCTCCCCCCTTTTTAAAAGAAAAAAAATTGGTTTACAATATTTTTTCAAATATTAAATTTAGTTACAACAGTTCAAAACAAAACATCAAAATACATTAAAATCCGAGAAAAACTCTATTTCAAATGATCATAATTTTCATTACAAATCATAATTGTAAAAAGTAATTGAACATAAAAAACACCAAAAGTTTACAGACCACAAAATATTTTTTTTGTTTTTACATTCATATTTTTAGAGAAAAAGAAATACGTAAATGAGTTGACTAATTTAGAAAATTCCACATAAACTGATATTTAAATAGGATATTTTTTTTGACTATCAAACATAACAATCTACACAGACAGAAAAACAGATTTTTAAAGATGTTACAGTACAAATTAAATATTTAGATGTTGTAAAATAATTTCATTACTTCCAAATTATTACGAAACAGACAATATTTAAATTTTAAAGAAAGTAATTGTTAGATATACAAAACTATAAATTCCAATTCAAATAGTAATTACAAGGTTTCTGTTTCAATAGTAAATTTAGATACCTACATAGGTACCATGAAAATATCGCCACAAAAATTATACATCGCAAAGTTTTCTTACTTACGATCTACAGAATTTAAAATATATTAAGTACTTAAAGTGTTACATATTACAGTAGTTGGGTCAAATTAATTATTTACTTTTTCCTAATTTATAAAAAACACATTACACATAATATTGCATTTTCAGTTGTGCCAGTTTTTACCTTGATATGATAATGATAGATTCTACAGATTAAAATTTACTACTTTAATTCAGTCTTTCTAAACTCAATATCGTCAATATCGTTTTTTACAATTGACAAAACAGTATAGTGGGAACCTAAAGAAATATTTTGATGTTGAACTCAATAACATTATCATTTAATCAATTACATAAACATGAAATGAATAATTTCAAATACCAATTCTAGTGATATTAAATCTGCAATTAAAACTCTTTTAATTAAGCAAACAAAATTAATTACAATGAACAATTAATAGACAGTCTTTAACCAATTTCTTTTAAAGGTATTGAAATTTATATTTCATGAAGTAAACTGCAAATTAATATAAAATATTTATAAATGTGTTAATAATGTTATAATTTTGGACATTATTCAGACTTCAAAATTACTTTACTTAATTTGACCCTTCTACGTTAAATTCTTATTTTCTAAAAAAAAATACACAAATTACACAGTGGCCACATGTGAATTACAAAATTAGTTATTTAAGTATTTAAAATGTAAATATTTTTTTTTCATATTTAAAAATAATGTAAAAGTTTAAGAAATACGTAATTTAGTAGGTACTTGCTAATTCTTTAATCTCCTTAACGCGAGCTTCATCATCCGACGGCATCCGGAACCTTGACACGAACTCTCCCAGCAGCCAGCAATTAACCAACATCTGACTCGAACTCTCCCAGCGCCCAGCACATCACCAAACCTCCATCTGGCACCATCTACGCCCGGCAGCCAGCATTTCCATTTTTCTTACTTTTAAATCTTCTTAAAATTCTCCGACATTCCATTTATTTCACTTGTTCTTCCAATTCACTGATTTTAATTGATTTCATTTTTCCATTTTAGTCCATTTATTTATACACCAATTTATTTTATTATTTTATTGCACAGCACTGCCCTAAGGCAGCACTGGCAGGGTCGCCATGTAATGTGGGGACCGGGAGTTGACAATGAAAGTAGTTTATACTGTGCGATGCGAGTATATTGAGTCAGTCAGTTTACGCAGCAACGTCAAATATATAGTCTTAATTTATGTTAGTGTGAGGGTGGCGCATACACATACTACATCGGCAATTTCAAAAACTTTATCCAGGCTAAATTTACCTTGTTTGCAAACCAAATGTATTTAAAATTCTTATTGTATATGAATACTTTAAAGGTACCTACTAGCTAAGTGTAGTTCAATGTATATCATTTAAATAAATGTTTACTGTATCGTTATACATAAACCCACATATTTATTAAATTATGGTAGGTCTTGTAAAAATTTATCAATTGTAAATAATGTAATTATTTTGAATAAATTTATTATTGTCCAAAAAATCTATTGTTTTATTTTGTACTTAAATAAAAATAAAGAATAATAAAGGATAGAAAAACTCAATTTTTAAGTGGCTATCGTTTAATACAACTATAGTTTAAAAACAAATATAAAATAAAAGCAACTTTTATAAAACTATACACATTATTTTTGAATAACGTGTAAAACAAACGCGAATAATCATTTTTAGAATAAAGAATATTAGTAATAAACAATAATAATTATACAATTTTGTATATTTTCAAAGTCATCACTACTAAGTCAAGGGTTCCGGGGGCAGTTGATTACCACAAGATATTTTAAACAATAACTAAGTCCTAAAATACAAGTCAAAAATATTCATAAGGCACATTATACAATTTTCTCTCTTAGCTATTTTCTTGTAGTCATTAGTAGCCACAAGAATTTCAGTCAAAACTTGGCTAATGTATTTAAATAAATTCATTTTATTAAATATCTTAGACTCAAAAACTTTAAAACTATTTGATCTATTCGATCAAATACATAAGGGTGGAAACAAGAATAAATAAAACTAGATATATTTATTTATGTTATAATCTCCACCGCATATAAAATGCATTAGAACAGTTTTTATAAGTAGCACATTTATTTCATATTTAAATAATTTAACATTTTTGTGGTCCTAATTCAATTAGTTTTGTCATAACAATAGTTTTTTAACTTGATAAAAATATAATTCTTTAATTGCATAGAATACAGAGTGAGTTATTTATTGCATACAGTTACAGATATTTAATATCTTAATCAATATTATGTCTCGCGCCAATAGAAACTAGCAATCTTTTAAGCAAATAAAAATAACACTGACAGTGAACTAGTAGGTAGGCCTAGGATATGCGCCACGGTAAACTTTTATCGTGACATTTTATCGATTTTGCACGATAAGCCCAATACTTATATTTGTTCTTTAAAATCGTCGATAAGATTTATCGGGCGCGTATCCTAGCCCGGCTGGGCACAGCCATATCTTTTGAGTAAACTTTTTTTTATTGCAAGTAATATTGAGGATACTGAGTGTTAATTCTATCCGAGTCCATACCGAAAGTTGCTACATCGAATGTCTCAACAGCGAAAACGCTGCATCGGTCATCAAACCGATGCACGGTGGATCGTTTCATACAAGCTACACGCCGGAAACTCATTAATTAATTATACTTTTTTTCTAATCTTAATGATGATTTACAGATAACAGGGACCTCAAAAATACCATTATGTTATCTGTGCTGTTACTGATGATTTATCCCATTAGTAATTATCTACCCCATTAGTAATGAGGGTAGAAATGTATAAAAGGCAAGTAACATGAAAAATAATTCTATTCGCAATTTTGCGTCGTTGTGTGATCTATTTTTATAAGTCGTAAGTGTGTGAGCGTGAAAGAAAAAATGCAGAATATTAATGAAGGTATGTACTTGACACTTGTTATTTATTATTTGCTTAGTTTGGGACTAGAAGCGCAGTGTAAAATGTCTAAGGATATTTATTTATTTATTGAATTTGTAGATTTGGACTAGCTTTTGTTCTCGAGAAAAAAAAATGAATTTCGCCTATTGCATACTTGAAAAAATCCCAATCCTTAACTTTAACAAATATCTACAATTGAGTACACCTTTGTTTAGATCGTTTCATCCACGAAGACGCGCCCCTATCAATTTTTGGCCGAGGGAAGCGCGGGGTGCGGGGAGTTTGATCCGAGCAATCCGAGCGTCATTATTGTAGTGTGTGTGTGCACTCATGGATAATTTAGCGTGTACCGATAACACTCAAACATTAGCGGAAGAAAAGTGGGGCGCGTCTTCGTGGATGAAACGATATACAGGGTATTAGGTAAATGGGTATATGAGCCGACACTAGCCCATGTTAACATGGGCATATAAATGGTATGGTGAAATCAGAAAATTAATAATCTTCATTTTAATAATTTTAATTTTCATACAAATCGGATTTTATAAAATTTATTTTGTATGAAAATTAAAAAAAAACAAAATGATGATATCAAATTTCTGACTTCGGTATACCATTTATATGCCCATGTTAACATGGGCTAGTGTCGGCTCATATAGGTACCCATTTACCTAACACCCTGTATAACACTACTTTTATCTTAAAGCTCTAACCCTCTTCATTTAAAATCAGTTATTAGTAGACTTCGCACGAGTTTACAACATTGTTTTTCATGTTTCAGGACAAATAGTCTCGATTTCCATGAAGGATCTATTTGAAGTTTGGGCTTCTGTAAGCCAGACGGAGCGAAATGAAAGGATTCTGCAGTTTGTAATGTCTAAATCTGTTGTGTCAAGACATGAGTACTGCATTGTAAATCGACTGAAGTCGAAAATAAGACATTATTCATTGAAAATTGAAGAAAAATGGAAGTCAGCGGGATCCGACAAAGAAAGGTGACTAAGCACTATTTAATTAATAATTGAAAATCAATTGTTGAGTAAATACTTAATGTGCCATTGCATTTTTTATTTATTTATAACATATTCGTATTTTCTTTTACCAGGTTCCTACTCAGATATAAAGACTGGCTTGAAACAGAATACTTCAAGTTTGACTTTTTGGGAGACAACGAAGAGTTCTCTTCGGAAGACGAAGAACCTTCGGAAGGCGCTACACCTAGTGGAAGCCATCAAAAGGCTTTTCTCGAGTGCAGTGATGACGAAAAACGCCAAAGAGTCAAGGATCACTTCGCCTCGCACGGGCCTTCCCAATTGTCCTTTGCTGCACAGATTTATTATGGCCACCCGTGCAAGTGGTTCCCACACTGCGGCAGACTACATTAATGCAGTTTTCGATTCTCCAGAGGAGTAAAAACATTTGAGGAAAGCCCAGGAGCTTTTGAAGTCGCGGCGTTAGTACTGACGTGAGGAAGCACTTGCTTTATAGACGCTAAGTTAACTAGAAATAATTAGAATTATAGTTTTAAGGAGTTTTTTTGTTATACTAGTTAGGTTTTAGTCAAATAATTTAAGTTGATTATTTCTTATTTTTTCAATTGAACATTAAATTATTTTCATCAAATATATTTTTTATTTCTTCTTATTACCCTAGTCAAAAATAATTAAAAGGTATTTTAACTTACAAATTACTCGAAATGTCATATTATTTAGACATTAGACTATTTATCACTAATCTCTCATTGATTCTATCGCATCATTAGCTAATAAGCCCTAATAGAGTTACTAAATTATTGTGAATCTACGACAGTAACTTACCTATAATGATATACTTTACTAGGAAATCATTAAAAACAAACACTTAAAACAACATAGAATAGAACGTCTACCTTGTATAAAACGTTCCACTGTGCGATGGTACGCTACATCGAATGTCTTGAATTTTCGATATCGAACCATAACAGCGTCGAATGGTTAACACAGCGAATGTTTTGTTGATATCGAAGGCTACACTTTGATAACACAAAAAAAAAACACTACCCAATTTCGGTGTCAAGACTTAGATCTATTCGATGTAGTAATGGTTCGACATCGAGACTTTCGCTGACGCAACGTTCGATGTGGCAAACCATCAGTTTGATGAACCTTCAACGCAGCGTTTTCGCTGTCGTGACATTCTATGTTATGAAGGGAACCCATGCTTATATCTTACCTATTTGACTAAAAATTACCGAGTCTATTTGGCGCAGACACACACATAAGAGTAGGCGCACACTGTTGGTTTTTAGTTGGCCGATAGTAGTTGTGCCCGATTTCAAATTGTATGAAGAATCGGCCAAATCGAATCGGTGCGGCGTAGTGTGCGCACTCCCATACATGCCCATACTGATCAACAGCCCGACTAAACTATCGGCCGACGAAAAATCGACGGTGTGCGCCTACTCTAACAGATCATTGTTATCAATATATTTACTAATTTGGTCTTCAACTTTCATATTCACCCTGAATTCTAAAATGTCTGTATTATACTATAAATATTAATCTTTATTTCAATGTCTAGTAAATTAATAAATTTTGCTTATTTACATTAAAAATATTCTATTACGTACATATAAAAACATTATTTAAATAATGATTTCTTCATTGCACTAAAATGTCTGTGACAAAGATATAATTTATAAAATTCTGAGCAACAATAGTATAAAAAACTATATAGGAACAGTTTATTACATATCTGTTATTATCCTTGCAAAGGCTTGATTAAAGTTTTCATTAATAAATGACTTCTCACAGTCTCAAGCAAAAAGTTGCATAAAGATTAATTGCAGTATTGATAAATAAAAGCAAAATAATATCAACATTGTAAGGATAATATCAAGATACAGCAATAAGTAGCAGTCATATAATATCTCTATAACATTATTATGCCCCCTGGAAGACAATGGTATATAAAAAGTATGTTTAAATATTAAACCATACACTATAATTACGAAATCACAACACATTGTGATTGTTAATTTTATTCAGTTCCATGTCAGCTACAAGTAATATTTCATCCCACTTTTGCGACGGTGTGTTTGGTGGGGAACCGACACTTAGTTTCCGTTCTTTGACACTTGTTGGAGTTGTAAACTCCAATTTGCGTTTTGACTTTCCGGCAAACACATGGCAAATAGGTGTTTGTTGTTCATCAAACACAGTAAGAGGTGTGATTGGGGGAGTCATTATAACATTATCAGTAATAGGGCCTGCATATTTGAAGACAGGTTTTTTCAGTATAGTATTATTACCAGAAACTTTTTCAATTAATCCAACTGAAATGAAAACATTGGCAATATCGTAAAGCCTTCTGACCTTAGACTTGTGTTGGCGGTCTTGCTGTTCCGGTGAGAGAGCTGCTTTGTTTTTGTTGTTTGTGTCAATTAACACCCTTACAGCCATTTCTAAATTAATTAATTTGTTCTGAAATAAAAGAGTATGGTTTAGATAGATTGAATTAGAATTAAGCAATTTAAGTTTATTTTTGTAAGGGATAAGACAATAAAAGAAAAAATGTATTTAACTATGGTGTACACTACAGTATCTCTGATGCCCATTTTCACCATCATTCCCTAGTTTTTTAGTGATCCCTATGGTAACACATAACAGGAATTTTGTTTTCAAAGGGGGCACTTAATAATTAGGGATTGATGGTGAAAACGGGCATCAGACTTTTATATGCTATCTCTCAAGTTCATTAAAATTAACAATCCAGATCTAAGCAAAATCTTTTTGTAATAAATCTTTTTTGAAAATTGTAATTTGTCATGAGTTAAATAAATAATTTGATGTTAAATGTTTTGGTGACTAAATAATAATGAAATTAAAGAAGCTTACAGGTGGTTCAACTAAAAACAGCATCAGAAACCTCTGTGCCATGACCCCCAGGGTCTTGTGTTTGGGAGCCGGTGGCTTCGGGGCACGTCCTCGTAGAGCGTCTGACAGTTTCAGGTTTTCTCCTTTTTTCTTCAGCATCTTCAAGAAGGAGTTCAGTCTTGATCCTCCATACCATAGGTATGTGTTTTTCCTTTTGTGCACAGCACATTGGATTGCTTCCAAAATATTTATAATGTCATACATTCTCCTTTTCTCAACGCCCAATCGGGCTGCAGTGCTGTCCAACTGGATTTCAACAGTCCCATTTCCGTGTAGGGGGTACATTTCCAGGAACCTGAATCATAAAATTAATAGCTTAGTTTAGTCACACAGTTCATAATGCTAATTCAGGAGTATGTACAGTCTCGTTAACCATTCGTTAGTTATTCAATTTCATAAAATGAATGCTAAAAACCTGATTAATACCTTAATATGTTCTTCACCCAAACAAATTATAGTTTATGGAATAGAAGTACAGAATTTAAATCTTAAAGAATAGAACAGGCACGATACATTTACTGTGAAGTGTATATCTGCATAACATACACACTAAGCTCACAACAAGCATACATTTCACATACAGTATGTGGAGGTTGGGTCAAGGTATTGAGGTGAACATTACCAACCTGTCGCACAAAATTTGTAGTGACTTTTCCTTCCTGTGCACTGCACTTGGTGGCGGGGTTGGATATTGTGGCACATTGCTGTAACTCACAAGATCATTCTCCTGCAACGCTACACTCGTTAGCAACTTGAGGTTAGCTGTCGGCGACACATAGTTAGTAGAATTTGTCACTTCTGAAAGTGCGTAACGCTTTGGTGTACAGGTAATGTTATCATCTTCATACATTGTGTGAGAACATTCTGTAAATTCCCCCGTAACTCAAAATATTCGCGTAATTTTTGACAGCTCAGTGCAAATCCAGTAGGTTTCTTATTCGAAACTAGAACCGAAAAATGATGACTCACAAGTTTGTAACATTTTGTTCTACTATCTTAGAAACACAATTTTGATATAAAAAGATCCATTTTTAGTTAGATTTCCCAATTTGTAACCTAACAATAAACAATTTTTGACAGATATAATTGCGCGCGAGCCTAGGGACGGGGAGGGAAAAAACATCAAACAACGCAAGTGCGAATTTCCTGCGTTTTGTTTTTGCATTGTGTTTGAACAATTTAATTTGGTTGTTTCATCAAATTGGTTTAATCGTATTGGGTATCCTTCCTTCATTTTTCAAGATGATGAATGATGGGATGATGTCCCTACCCTGTCTACTTATGTACTCGCGTGTTTAGTACCTAAGCAAATATCTATAAAAACTATGTTTGACAAATCTAGACTCCAAAAATAAAATAAATATCGATAAATTGATTCCTTGAGAAGAGAATATTCATAACATAAAAAACAATAAAATAGTTTTTCTTACATGATGCGTTTTGTTATCACCCGGAACCGGAAATAAATATTTGTCTATGTATAGATCAGTCTATGGTTTTTACTTACATTTTTTTATTTCTGGATCATGTCATGGCTGGCATCTGGCATGAAGCTTGATTTCTTTCCTCGTAAAAGTGAGCTTGGTTTTCTTTGAAAGTGGTGATTACCGTCAATGTTTTCTCTTTTATTTACTAATTGTGTACAAGTTAGCTTCTAATAGTCTTCTATCGCTCGATAGTATTATTTTTAATGGATGTCAAGATGTTTCCATTGTAGTCGAGTAGAAATCCGTGCACAAAATGAACGACGGAGACTGGATTTGTAGCGACGCAAACTGCGGAAATATCAATTTTGCGCGTCGAGTGTCATGTTATCGATGTAATAAAGAGAGACCTGATGGTGGAAAGTCTTTCAAAAAGAAACTTGGGACTGAGATCGGAAAGTCTGCAGCAGAAAAGTCCCGTGGACTCTTCAACGCAGATGATTGGCAATGCAACAAATGTGCAAACGTGAATTGGGCCCGGCGCCATACATGTAACGTGTGTAATGCACCGAAATTCGGTGAAGTACGTGTATTTTCTTATTTTCATTGTATTAAATCGATAATTTGGACGTTCTATTTGACGAAGTAACTTGGTTTCAGGTGGAAGCTCGTACTGGCTACGGCGGAGGCTACAATGAGCGTGGGGTGGTGGAGTACCGCCGGCGGGACACATCCTCGGATGATGATATTGACGAGTTTGGCAGGAGGAAACGCAAACGCAAGAGTGAACCACAAAATAAGGTATGTATCTACCATCTTCCATGTTACCATTTTATTCAACCATTCACAGATAGTAGTCACACCGAGCAACTCTGTTGATAAAGTGACTACCTCTTTGCTATGAATTTATAAAATCATTTGCTTGTCATAAATTGTATTTAAAATTCAGGGGATTATGGATTTTGAAGCTAAGAAGATATTAAATTAAAGAGCATTAAAATTTTGAAGCACATCGTTATTAAAGTGGAGATTATTTTTCCTGCCTTCAGGTTGGCATCACTGAAGGAGCAGCATTCAAAGAGTTGCAAGGAACAATGCTGCAGAAGCAATCAAAACTGGATCATATTCCAGGGCCTGCACCAAAAATGTCACAGTCAAAATATAGTGAAAATGAGAAAATAAAAGGCAGCCTCAGTGATGGCTCTGTGTGCGAGGTTCCCCCTCTCTCTAAAATGGCATTTAGAAGGCATCAACTCCCAAACCAATCCACTTATCATAGACAAGATCACTCCTCACCTGCTTACAAACCAAATAATGTTCAATCCCGTAAAAGGTATTCCAGCATTGGAGATAAGGATCACACAGGTTCATCTGGTTATGAAACTGCATCAAAGAAGAGCAAACGCGACAGTACTAATTCCCCAGTCAAAGGATTCCCTGTCATGGAAAATATGGTCTCTTCAACCAACAATGACAAATTCCCTGGAACAACAAATAGTTATCAACTCACATACACTTTGGAAGAAAGGGTCAGAGCAGCAGCTTTTGCTATAGTTTACAGCAACTGTAAAATTACAACTGAAAAATTTGAATGGCTGTATGACAAGCCGGCGCCAGATTTCAAAACTATCTTTTCCTGGAGGCAGCGACTGCTGTCAACTGGATGTCTTGTTGATGGTCATGTAGATGCGAAACCAAATGATGACAAAAAATCTCCAGCCCAGCAAAAAAAGCAGATTGTTCCTAGAATACCAAATCCTGATGAGATTGCTATTTTATCCAGTGACAGTGAAGATGAATCTAGAAAAGATCAAATGCAAACTAAGCTCTCTGCACGTCAGAGAAGTGTGAGTGCTGAAACTTTATTTATTGGAAGTAATGAGCAAGAAACACATGCTGCTGGAAGTTCAATCAGTACTAATGATGATAGGCGTTCCAGAGGCAGAAGCCGATCTGAGTCTTCACACGGGAGATCACATTCCAGTTCATCAGACAGTCAGGATTCCAACTACCCAGATACAGATTCTGAAAAAGTTGCTAAATCAAACACTTCTAAAACTGTGGTAAATGACAAAAAGTCGACATCAACTAGACCATCAGTGCGGGATTCAGACTCTGATTCAATTTCTTACGACAGTGAAGATGAAAATTTCTTGTCAAGGGTGTATGGGGAAAACAAAAAATCCAGACGTAAATTGAAAAAACGTAATGTGCCACCAACAGTTGCCACAAAACCTCTAAATACACAAATTCAATATTTGTCCGAGTCACCAGTCCGACCAGTAAATAATAATAATCCCCCTTTTCAAGGCTATAGTACTGCCAAACCAACAGTGCAGCAGTCTCCATTGGTGACTGGAAATATATACACTTGTAATTTGCGCAACATGAATGTCAGGAATAATGACAATCCCATTGACACAGATGGATGTTCAAGTGAATATATTCCAACAAAACTGGGGTCAACTACTAAAAATTATCAGCAATTTAAAGACAATGTTAGAAAGAAGGGTTATTGGGCGAAAGGAAATGGAGCAGCTTTTCGGAACACTATTCACATATCCAATGAACCGATAACCCGGCCTGCTAATCGAACTTTACCTAATAATACTACTTACTCTTTTAATACACAAGGCGTCCAACGTACCAATGGGACTAAAATACCTGAAAGTAAACCAATTGAAGACATGTATTCTGTTAAGAAATCTCAATCTTTCCACATAATCAATGATCCAATAACACGATTCAATAAAAAACCACCTAAAGAAGTATACCCCCCAATTAAATCTGATTATGTTTCCAATGCTAAAACTAACAGATCTCTAGATTTTACTATGAAAAATGTACAAAACATAGAAATTGATGATCAATTTTTGCCATTTGATAAGCCTGCACAATCAACACCTAATATAAGTGTTACAGAAAATACATCACGCATATTTGACGTTGTGCAATCGAATCCGTCTTCTAAAAATCGAAGTATTATGGATATTTTCAACATGAATGATAAAGCCAATGAAAGTCCAGAGCAAAATAATGATCTCGAAAAATATGATAGTGTTCACAAGATGTACGAGACAACGTGGGACGAAGATGATGACGCTCTCTATAAAAATGATAGTATGGATGAATCAACACAAGATAAACAAAACCGTTCACCTAGTATTAGGAATCCAAGTCCTATTTCCAATATGCTGTATGCAACAGACGAAAGTTTATCACTTCAAAATACACCTAAAAAGAAATTACCGGAAATTATTGAAAGTAAACGCGATATGTTACTAGATCTTTTAAATAATTATCCAAAAATCCAGGATAAAGATCAAACTGCAATAGTACAACATCAGCCGATATTGCAAGAACCACAAGCTATACCAGCAGAACTATCCAATGAAATACTATCTTTGTCAGAGACAAATGTTAGCAATGTCCCATTGCCTCCAGAAAAGATGTCCAAAAATACAGTGATTCCATCAAAACAAATACAGATTATTGAATCAATCACTATTCCGCCTAACTCCAATGTAAATTGGCCAAATTCTTATGATCTCAAACAAACTAATAATCAATGTGATAAAGTTGAACATTCATCAAATCAAAATAAAATTAATAATGTGTCTGAAGAGTTGAAGAATACAGAGATTGAGATATCAGCACAAGAACCGTCTCAGCCTCAGCCTCAGCCTATGGCTAATTTAGATCTGTCCAATCTTCTAACTGGAATCAATACCAACACTCTTTTGTTGGCTCTTCAAAATTTACAGCAAATCAACCAAAACACTTCAAATGAAAATTTTGCTGATAACAACCAAGGTGATCCTGATGATAACAATGAAAATGATGATGTACAACATGTGGAAACTATTAACCTAACAAATGATGAGGAATGGGAGAAAGAATCTAATTGTGAAGGTAGCATAGAGAGGGAACTACAGAAATTAGATGGCAATACTGGTGATACTCCTTTTTTAAGTGACATTTTTGATCCTGGACCAGTTGTCATGCCTAGTAATGTTTCTAAAAAATTTAATATAAATCTCATCAGTGCTGAAGATAATAAGTCTGATGCACAAAAACTTCATTTAAATGAAAATGCGCCCGTGATCGGCAACTTCAAAAGCTTCGCTTTACCCAAGCCAATAATGTTGAATCGATTGAAATTAACGGTGAAACCTCCTGAAAAGGTCAAAAAGAGTTCTGGAAAGAAATCCAAACGCAAGAAGAAGGTTTGTATCAACTCTTTGGCCACTTGCATTTATTTAGCTTCAGTTCTGATCTCATTTCAAACTGTTTATAGCTAGCCTTCGTTCAGTTATGTTTGTTTCATTAGCGTCAAGTCCACAAAGGTTTCCAAAGCATTATTCATAGGACATTGTATCCTAAATACTGTAACTATTTGTAGGAACTTCAAAATCGGGGACGTTAATGGAACAAAAAATTTCTTGAATTATAGATTCTATTGCGGTGGTTTTGTTTCAGAGCAAACCTTCAGCGTCGCAGGGAGAGGAGGAAGGCGTAGAGGATGAGGAGGAAGAATCGGGAGACGAGGCCGACCTTTCTAAGTACGAGCTGTGGGAAAGCGATGAGGAAAAGGGGAACTCCTCAAAAGCGGGTGGAGCAGGTCTAGATTTTAATCTTAAAAATTCCTCATTCATTCACTCGTTCATTTCACATTCACTCGTTCATTACTCATTCACTCGTTCATTCTTCAATCACTAGTTCATTCATTCTTGAATTTCGAATGTTGGATAAAAAGCGAATTTCGAATGACATTTTTTTTATTTTTTGTAGAAAATGCCGAAAAGTCCAAAGAAGGTGAAAGTTCGAAGGAAGGACAAGATAAAGGAGACAATAATGGTAAAACTGCTTCCCCTGTCAAAAAGAACAGTAAAAGAAGGTGAGCAGCATTTTAGAAATATCATATTGGGGGCTATCGTTTTTAGTCTTAACAGTTGGCACCACTGGGTGACGCCATCTTGGTGAGTGCAAATGCGATAGTCCTCGTCACTAGCAAGTGACAGTGACGTTACTCTACAGTGGCGCCAACTGGTGAGCGCTAAAATATGTGAAACAAAATTTACTACTTTTTTATAAACTTGTGTATCATTTTTAGGTCGCGAAGCTCGTCTTCATCGTCCAGCTCCTCATCAAGCTCCAGTTCTAGTCACAGCTCAACGCAAGGGCCTAAAAACAAGTGAGTGTAGTGATGTTTTCTTCAAACAAGGATTTCTAAGAGGTCCCTATACATTGTATTTTGTTCTCTTAGAATTCTAGAATCCTGGGTGTTTCTTTTTGTTTCATATCTTAATAACTAGATTGTGCTTTGCGAATTTACCAAAAAAATTGTAACTAGGTATTTACTTAAATTAATTAAATAGCTTGAAAGTAGAGTTGTCAGAGCGTTTTCATTTTAGGCGGCTATGCAGAGCGTGCGAACTTATTTAGTTAAGAGTGACATTTACTTGTTGTATTTATCATCAGACATGATTTATTTATGCAACTTGCGCAGGAGTGCGGGAGAAAAATATGGCGCACCTTATATTTCACCCGTACTCCTGCTTTGTAGCTTACCTACAGTATAGTCTTTATATCGTATGTAAAAGTTGTTAGCAGAGCGGTTGTCTTATACACAAGGGGACAAAATATCCCCGAATATGACGCGTAAAGCTTTAACTATGCGATATTGCAACAGTGTTTTGTCGCATCCACATTTCAGCTGCTCAATAAGCAAGCGCCGCATTGTCCTAAGATATTTCGTGTAGTTGTTGACGGCAAATGAACCGCAATTTCTCGGGATATGTGTTTCATTTATACCTTCGTCTATCCAAGGCTTACTCGCCTAAAATGAATCGGGACATTTGTTCCCTCGTGTGTATCTAACTTATCTGGCCTAAAATGAAAGCGCTCTCACACAAAACGATTTACCGAGAATCACCCTCCACGTAGTTAGCCAATAATTTGACGAACGTTGCTATCCCTCACTAGATTCGACGACTTTAATCTGAACAGTGAGCGCGAGACTTCGCCCAAGGGCCGCAAGTCGCGCTCCCGGTCCCGATCGCCGCGGCCCAAGCCCACCAGTGCGCCCGCGCGCCGCAAATCCCGGGACAGCCGGTCTGCGGGAGAATCTAGGTAGGTTTTTTTGTATTCATGTATACTATATTTTAATATCGGCCAGCTAGTTTTGATTTGGACCTTACAATAAGATAACGTTCGAAATATGATGGAGTGGGAACTATATTCCCACTGCCTTATAAAAGTAAAATTATTGTATTAGATCCTCAGTTATCATCCTTTGCTCATTTGCCTTCGGGGCCAATAAAAAGTCGCATTTCACGCACTTTATCGCAACGTTACGCATAATTGAAACTTAATCGATTACAATGTTGACAGATTAGATTATGCTATGATTTCTTGACAGCGCGCACCTTCGTTAATTAATTCATTCTTTTTTTTATTAGTCCCTGAAATTGCTGTGAATCTCAAGTTAAAGACAAATTAAACGACAATCCACGCCCACATACGAATTCAAATCTCAAGTCAAAGACAAAAACGGCAAGCCACGCCCACTTACGGATTACATCTTGTGATTTAGAAAATGAGGCTTGTTTCTTGTAATATGCCAACATCTTTTCATCAGAAACAAATCTAAGCGTTTTTAAATATCCTTTCGATTCTGGGTTTGAAAATAAACGGTTTTCCACAGAAGCCACGACAAAGAGTGGAACCGTGATCGCGAGCGTCGGGACAGGCCGCGTGGCAACCGCGACGAACGCAAGGAGCGCCGCTACAGCCGAGACGGAGGCAACCATTACGGAGCCCGCGGGCGCCACCGCTAAACAATCGGTCAGTAGTCGTGACGTCTAGAGTAATATGAAGGCTGCATGGTTACTCTGAAAAAAGTTCCGTGACGTAATCTGAAGTTTCGTATGTCCATCCCTTTCACATAAATCGAGATGCCATTAAGAGCGACGGTGACAGGTCGATGTGGCAAACATCAGGACTTATAATCCAGCATTGTTGATTGTAGTAGCGCCCTCCTGTAAAGGTAGCCTCTCGAACTAAGCGTCACAGATGCAGCGTCTTTAGCTTTGGTCTTGTGCTACCGACGCCGCGTGACTAACTCGCTTCGAAAGGCTACCTTTAAGACCAAAGCTAAAGACGCTGCGTCTGTGACGCTTAGTTCGAAAGGCTACCTTAAATGTGTTATGGACACTACTTTTTCTAATGTGGCAAAAATCTGAACTGATAACCCAGTATGACAGGGTTTCTCAAACTTTCGGCTCCACGAACCCCTGTTAAAGTTTCCAAGGTCCCCCCTTCTAAAGAAAATAATAAGGTTTTAATTCCAATATAAGTGCCAAAAAATGTATTTTTAATATGTGACGGGTGTACCTGTTTCTTGTCGCAAATGGAGTCAATTTACGAGTAATTTTGGGCAATATTTCAACCTTAATTCTGCCACCATTACGTAAATCTTGTTGCGAACCCCCTAGTGTCGAATGGATCCCACCTTGAGAAACCCTGCAGTATGATATTGACGATAGGAGGGCGCTACCCTCCTGTCATTGTCATAGCTGGGACTCCACTGTCGGACAACTAAACGTAAACAGTGTTTCGGAGTAACCCTGCTGAGCACAACTATGTTTTGCAGTCCTACTGCTCAGTTCTACTGTTTTGGGTAATTTAGCTACCAGTGCAAATTATTTTTTTCGTATCTTTCAGGTAGGACTAAGTAGTAAGACGGCGCAGACGCAATGTAGGGCCAAAACGTCAAGCAAATAACGCGCGAATGGCGTGTGAGTAAGGTGCATAAATTATTCGACTCGAGCAGTAATTTATTTTATTGGTATACTGACCATAATTTGCTTATTAATTCTCGACTCTTCAGTGATGTGTCGTTAGCATCTTAGCTTACCTGTTGCCTTTACCTAATATTAAACCTTATCAACTTGTCTTAAGGGCAAAAAATATAAACGTGCAAATCCTTGTAAATAATTAAGTTGCAATAGTTGTACCTATAACCTGCGCACAAGCAAATAGGGTGAAATAAAGCTGCTTAATCAATCTGAACATCACTACATGATATGCCGTTCTGACTACAGAATAATTTAAGAAAGGATTATTGTAGTTTGAAGAAATGACACCTGCCTGTGTATAAGAAAACAGGGATATTTTATGAAGTTAATTTTAAAAATAAATGTGGTTTAACGATTATAATAGGTATAAAAACTATTTTCATTGCAGCAACCTATGAAAGATCTTATTTCTCAAAACAATATTGTAGTAACTGTGAATAAGATATTTTGTTAAAGATTTCTTCTTTTTTTTGTTATATAAAATACTGTTTAAGGATTCTTGTAGGATTTCAATGTAACTGGAATGATGAACGTAAAGTTTAATTAGTGTAAGATTTGAGTTCAAGGTCAATTTCTTATTCGAGTCATTGCATATGGTTCCTGCTTCTTGCTGTAACGATGCTATCTTTAATGTGTTGCGGTATGTGATATGGTTTATTGTTAAGTTAAAATTTATTTACTTACGTTGACCTTGAATATAAATCAAGCTTTTTGTATTTTGTACATAATTCTATAATAAATATGTATATGTGTATAGTTCTGACGTTGGTGCGGTGTAGAGTTAAAAACAAATGACAGCGTAACAGTCAGACTATTGATCTTACAAACTATTCAAATACATAATTTGGTTGGAAATGAGATGGAATGATCGCTCTCACTCGCTCTTGTTGTATAAAAAAGAGCGAAAGAGGCATCTCGCCGGGAACTATTTTCTACTCAGTCTTCATTTCTACGGCTTTTAATTCTAATATTTTGCCCATCGTTATGGTATTGTGTAAAGTACAGACACAAAGTAGGTAGGTACTTGCATTTATTTTAATTATTTTTTTAATAATCAAAATTTTGTTATTTTGTCTAACGGCGAACTCAAAAATGCTTTTTTGTAGTTAAGCTGATGTATCCCATTCTGTCAAATCTTGAAATGTAATAGTGTTTTCTTGCATCACTTTTTTACAGTTATGGATTGACATAAACGCAAATACCAATTGACAAATCATTTTTGTGATAGGCATATAGGTATTCTGTAAATACAAAATTTAGATTTAAGCGATAATTCATAATTTGTCTGAATTTGTGTCAACCTTTTGGGTTTGTTAAAAGACGTGTAGGTTTTAATGTAGTGGAGTATCTTATAAGACTTGTATGGTAATGGATTTGCCATGAAAATAAAAGAAATATTAAAAATTATGTATTTTATTCTGCACATTACATGATTAGTAAAATACCAAATATTTAGCTAAACAAAACTTGAAGAACAATAACGATTCAACCAATTAATATAACTATCAAAATGCGACATTTTATAATAATTTATCATATTATTATTAAGTTCTTTAGCCTTTGGGTGGTCGATCTGAAAACAATATAAAAAATATTAAGTTTAGTGGTGTTGCCACTTGTGTGGCAGCATTCAGTAAAAATTACTAAAAATCGAATAGGTAAAAATTTTAAACTTTCGAAATTTCGTTGATTAGATTTCCTGTTTTTCACCTACATAAAAATTCATAATTTATGACATAAATAAAACCGCTACTCGGTTAAAATTGCACGCACAAAAACAATTTTTTTCCTCTAAGATAATACCCAGATAATTCACACATACTAAAAGCATAAAATAATTGTCTACCGACAATTATTATAATTACCTCCATCCAAGCAGCGACATTCCTGTAACAAAAATGCACTTCGTCAATAATTTGTCGAAAAAAAAAGTTAACATTATAATAATATTTTTGTTACGTTCGATACTTACCGCGCTTATCACCATAGGCTTCTGAGGCGGTTTTGGTTTGTCCTGTTTCGAAGGAACCGGTTTTGGAGTGCAAGCATCCACAGCGCCACCTGGTGATTGAATAAGGAGAATATTATTTATGTAAGTCTTTTGGAATTATATTGTACATCACAGCATAATAAATAATATGTACCTGGGCCAACATTAGCTGCTTCCCCGCCGCTCACTTTATACATCTGAAATAATTTGTTTTAATTTCAATCATTAATCAATTATTTATTTAATTGATATTCACTCTGAAAGGACCCCGATCATATCCCAAGCAGGCTCTAGATTGGAAACCCCAAGGAAAACGCAAAGTTGGTCGCTCAAACAAACTTGGCGGTGCACTGTAGCAGACGAGGCGAAGAAGATCGGCAAGACTTGGAGCGAGATCAAACGCGAAGCTCAAGACCGAACGCGATGGAGGACTATTTATTGTGGACGCTCTCTGCCCCATCTAGGGGACATAGGACATTAAGTAAAGTAAGTCAAGAATTGCACTTTTCTGAATTACTCCATCCTCGTTGTCCGGTTTTTCATCGTACACGATTCGATAATATCATGATAATTATGTCGATTGTTTATAAATACGTACCCTGCCATCATCACCCGTAGCCAAGCTAGAGGACAGCGGCAACACATCGGGGCCCCACTGCTTGATGAAGTGGCCAAGACGCGCAACGCGCTGCGCAGGAGTGGTCACCGTATGCGACCCGCCGCAGTAGCGGTTGCATAGGTGCTTGTCTGTTTCCGACCTGCGAACAGAAATTCGTGAGGGTTCATCAGGTTGTTTAGGCATTATTTGGGTATTTTTCGACGACTTTAGATAACTAAATTGTGATCAATATGTAACGCGTGATAAATATGACCAAAGTTCTAATGGGATGATATGCAAGTGGGTAAAATTGAAAACCAAGATTTGATAGCGCCTGCGCAATCGGCACGCTTATTAGACAGTAGCGAGCTCCAGGGCTTGTCGAGTTTCACAATTTTTTATATTTGCTAAACCATTTGCTGAACATTTGGTTGGCGGAGGAAAGAGTCACAAATGAAAAGTTGACATGATGAATAGCTTTCATATCAAGGGTCACCTGGCTTTCTGCGGTGGCTGCTGCTTCCCCGAGCCCATTTGCTTGTCTATGGCTTCCCAGTCGTGCATATTCCTCTGCGGCACATTGGTCTGCTGTGTCTTGCGGATCGCGTCTGCCAATAACAATATCGTTCCAAGAATTCGTTTACTCTTTGAATTGAATCGATAAACTTATCCAAGGACGAAGCAGGAATATAAATCGGTGGGTATTCGTGTCCCAAGTTGCCGACATTGTTAAGCAGGCGTTAGCTGGATTCCTATGAATGTGATAAACGCCCTGCGCGGAATATTAAGATAACATAATTCGCGCCTAAAGGGTTCTCGCTAAGAGCAGAAATGTTTGAGCGTCGCGGTGTCGTTTGCAATATTCCATGTACACCAATTCCATTGTTGTTGTTACTTTGAATAACTGACGCGTAACGGAATGTATTTCATTAGAATGTCGAATGAGCAAAACACTATTACCAAACAATTTGCTTATGATAACTTTTAGATGGATTAGATTGTATGGTAAAATTGAGGAAACAAAGCAACGCGTTTGAATTGACTTTTAAATGGCGTCGGTGTTAACTCGTAACGTGCCCTCCGCACGAAACCAATTTGCTTATATGATGGTTCTTGTATGGTTTATTCGAATGTAGAATGCGTTTGTTGAATGATTCTCATAACGCTTTGTGTATCACTCTAGATCACTAGACATCAGTTCTGTTAGTTAAAAATGTTTTTGCTAATATAGCGGAAATATTATATATTAAACAATTTTGTACCTTGACTTGATCGTAGGGAATCCAAATCGAAAGTTGTTATTACGTTTCGTTGAGATAAAAATATCGCAATATTCTTACCCAGTTCGTAGCTGAGGTAGGGCTTCATGGACAGGTTTGCTGGCATAGGGCGGCTGATCGGCACAGAGCTGGCCGCCTCCGTTGGCATAACCGCTTTCGCGTCGCACGAAATGCAGTTTACGTCTCTTAATATTAAGAAAGTTACAAATCAAAAACTAAAAATTTACCCTACTTAGTAGTGTTGTGCGCAAAATTTTGGTCGGCTCCTAAATTGTATGAGAAATTGGCTGATACTAAATCCGTGTTCTACTGATTGAACAGCCCGACTAAACTATCGGCTGACAAAATGTCTACATAGGTAAAGTTATTAATATTGAAATAGGTACAGTAATAAATGGCCTTTTTTGTAATAACCGTATCTATGTAATACAGTTACCTAATTACTTGCTAGGTTACTAGGAAAACCGTCTGGTTTGCGAACGTTCTTTGAACTGCAAGATGTAAATGTGTTGGGGGAAGGGAGTAAGTACTTAAAATGCGAAAAGCTAGACGAGGGAATTCCGCTCATTAGCAATACGTATTTGAAATACCAACAGGACAAAGCATTTTGCAATATCATACAGAAGGTAGGTTAATACATAGTTAGTATGTAGGTACTTAGGTACCGAACCTGGGTGTTTAGAAACTGAATTAAGTATTCCGTACATGTTTGTTTGTTTTTATTTAAATGTAGGTGTTTATCATTGTGGAATTATAGCCAAAAAATCGAGAACGTTTCCGAGTCAAAAAATGCATAAGACGCAATCAGTACTTACGTGAGAAACGTTTGACTTCGAAAATGGAGGGAACACAACTGCATATTCCCGCTCAGAAGGGTGTCATGGTTTCTAATGTAAACAGAATGGTTTGGCATGCGCGGCTCCCTTATTATTTTCCCGCGGATTACACCCAGAGGGAGATTAATTTGCGAAACAGTTAACAGGCATAATTATACAGGTGCATTTTGGATACAGAAAACAGTCGTAGTTGAAATACCTGCTACATTTTATGGACGATATCTTAACATACATAGACGCCTGGGTAAGATAGAAACTTTTATGCGATGGATGGGACTGATTAGGTACCTACAGGGCTAACTTATTATGGTGATTGCAAGCAAATGATGCAAAGAGCCAAAGTCGTAGGTACTAATATTTCAATTCCCGAAAGTTGCTGTCTTATTGAGGCAGTGTTGAGTAGCTTACCAAACTGTTTCTCAACATGGGCCTTACCTGAGCAATTTCCTCTTGGTTCCCGCTGCCTCGGCCTCTCGCCTTAGCGAGGCCATCTGCTTCAGATTCTCCTGCAGTTGCTTCAGTTTGCTGTTGAAGAAGTCCTTCACTGGGGACAGCTCCATCTTGTCTAGCTTCATCTCGATCTCGCGTTGGATGTCGTCCAAGGCTTGTTGCCATAGTGCTTCCTAGGAGAAAGAAAACAAAGTTCATCAAATAATTCGATCTTTTGGAGTCTCGGTTATTATAGCTAGATGTTCATGAGCCCGTGGAGAGACTGTAGATTCAGAAAATCACCATCATCAATCTGTCGCCAGAAAAGTGGATCTGGGTTCAATTCGCAGGTAGAACAAACTACTGTTTGTTCTACCTGCACCTGAAGCGATTCCATACTTGGAATCGCTTCATTTTCTTGGGTCCAATTCGTAGGACGTTATGAATGTCCGAATATAAATCGTTTGAGGTTGCCCGTTATCTTGTCTCATAAGATATTAGGACAAGAGGTTATGGATAACTGCTGTTAGCATGTTACATTTACCCTCTACTACTACCCCTCTACTCCTACTCCAACGAATCCCAGGATGGATCTTAAGATTTATTTTAATAACCTGTAGGTTTGGTAGCAGACTGTATCCATTAGACCATTAGCAGACTGCAACTAAACGCCTTTGAAGCTCAGAACTTTCGAAGTTCAATAAAAACTGTGAGCACATTATTAGGTACTTTAACCAAAATCGCAAGTGCCGAAGACAAAAAAAAAATATAAATAACCTGTAGGTTGAGTTTCCCAAGAGCATGTTCGAGTCCTCTGGATAGATCGTCGCAGGCCAGCTCGAACTGGTCGTGCGAGACCTTCCTCGCCAGCATCCGTAGGTCGGCCTTCTCAGCCATCGCTTCTACCATGTCTTCGCGGTCCAGCTTGACCGTCTTCAGCAGTTCTATTTGTTCTAAGAGAGCCTGAAAAAGTAGTTAGTGATAAGATAGAGAACATGGCTTAAATCTGAGTGATTTCTCGTTGTTTTTTTAACCACTTAAGGGAGAAAAAGATTTCGGATCTGCGGGGTTACTCCGAAAAATGTTATCTGAACTTTCGAATGTTGCCATCCCTCTCACGCAAAGCGAGATGCCAGCATGAGTGATGGTGACAGATAGACCTGAAACTACGTTTCGGAGTAGCCTTGCTGTTTCGAGAACTACAAATGGATAAATATTGCTCATTACATTGATGTTATGCTGCCTGTCTTCTTTTTCTGCAGCTAACTGCAGAGCTGTTTCGTGAACTTGTTTCAACTGTTCTTGCATATCCTGGACCGTTTGGAACAGCTGCATCAACCCTGGTTAGCAGAAAAAAATATTTAAGAAGATTATGCTTGTTTGTATTGGTATTTGTGGGTTATTACATGAAGGTTTATCTTTAGTCACCTTGTAAGTCTTTTATAAGATCCGGAGAAAGTTTTCCAGCTGCGAGATCTTGCGTCAAAGTTGCCACTTGTTTCAATAAATATTCCAGTTGATCTTGGAATGAATTTATCTGAAAGATTAAAGTACTGTTTATGATTTCTGCATTGAAAATGAACCTGTTTTGTTCTTAGTTGATAAATAGTTTGGGTTTCATTTGTATTTCTAGATCAAGTAGAAAATCTACGAAGAAAAAATGTTACGTCTTTTGTTTTTAACAGAAATAGTTACTTGGTCTTGTATAGCGCCGTCGCTCTTGCCAATGGAGTCGCAGCATTTGTTTAGTTTCTTCTCCAGCTCATTGATTCTATTCATCAGGTCAGCAGTGATCAGTGTGAAGGACCGACGAGGATGCGTTGACTGTCGGCGATCTGCAATGATATTATAATAGTATGATTTACAAAAAGAAAGTAAATTTAATTGTGCCTAAAGACCTATTCGTGACCATTAAGATGGAAGGTCAAAGTTCAACGTTACAAAAATGCAAAAGCGTGCATTTTAAATTCAAGCTCAATGTGTCAGAAGACAATAGAAGCGCTCGAACCATTTCACATAATGTTCGGAACTTATGAACCAGACTTAAATGGGTATAAGTACCTAACGGGGTTCGGCAAATGGGCTAAACACGAAGAACCAATAATAAGTGACGAAGGATCATTCGTTTTACGTTTTATGTTGTTATCAGGCAATTCATTGATTGGAAGCCGATAGAAGCTGAACAAAGCACGACGGAAGCCTTTTGTGAAGACTGTCTATTGTACTTTTGTTGTTATAGGTGTGTCTGTGGACTTCGATGGTATGAAAATTTCTACGGAAATGTTTTTAGCTATTTCTCTGAGGGACATGGGCGAATGTTGGAAAAGCGTTCTCTTTTAATTAAGCAATAATTCTTATGATATAATTTATTGGAACAGCAGCCTCAATACAAAATCAAATTTTGAGTAGGCACAATAACTAAACTAGTGTTCAGTCAGATTAAGATTTCGTAGTCAGGTTGAATATACCTACATATTTAATTGATCGGCTACTAATCAGTAGAAATTTAGCTTTAATCAATACCTACATAGTTGTCAACGTGAGAAATAGACGAACGGCCGAATACTGAAACACTACTCAAATCTGTCACTCAGCTGACGGGTTCCTAAATTTAAGTATCCTTCAATTTTAAATGGTATTCTCAAACGCTACTCAACGGATTTGAAGCCGTGATCAGCTAAGCAGCTCTCAAATGTTTACATAATGGCAACATTTACCAAAAAAAGTATGTTTTCATTTACACAAATGATAACTTTACGTCTTTTATCCATTACACGCAGCATCGTTTGGTTATGTATTGTCTTTTATGGAAATATACTCCTTCAACTTAACATAGAACAGTTTATTTTTAGTTTCTATTATATATAAATCTCGTTTTATCATATAAAAAAAATAATGCTTGCATTTTTATTTAATTAAAAAAATAATTTTAAGGGTGATACTTTTTATTGTTGAAATCTATTAAGTGGCGATCGTGGACCGAAACGTAACCACAATTGACATTTATCATTGTTGACTGACAGAGCATCAAATTGACAAATCAACAACTCTTGGAAATGCTGCTATGCGATGTCCCCTTAATCCTCAGAAATATGCATGTTTATGTAAAGCGATTTCATAGCAGCTATTTTGGTTGTTACTTCGTGCACTATACGATGCACAGTTGGCTGTTAGATTTGGAAGATATCACCTAGTACACGTTAGTAGGGTTATAATAAGTATTTGGTCCACTGGTTGTATGGCATTTGGTGAGGGGTTTCAAAGAGCTTCCAAATTATGAATCCAGAAACAACACCGTTTCTTTAGGGACGCGGAACCTCGCTCGGAATTGCATGTCATTATAATAATATTTTTCAATAGCGTTCAGCCTTATTGCGTTCCTGCGATTAGATCTAGGTATTTCCTCGAGGCTCGAAAGAAATGATAACGATGACACACATTATTTACCGCGGCACGCTTCGCTCGCCTTCGCGCATTAAGGGTCACTGTTCTAACCTAACCTAACCTACTTTTTTCTGTAATACCTACTTTTTGCAACCATACTATTTCCTGCAATGTTTTACATAAAATTCTTGTGAAAACCATGATCATGTGCCTTATACTTTGATTTGTGGTTAACGGTGGGTAAGTATGTGAAGTATCAATTTGACCAAACAAATTATTTGGGATATAATATTTGACAACATAAAACATTTGCGATATAAACATTTGCCAAGTAAAATTTGGCCAAATGATAATTTGACCAAATGAATTAGTTGCGAAAAGTACAGTTGCTAAAAGTTCATTTGGGAAATGAAACTTTGGCGATAAGTTGTTTGCGAAGTGAAATTTGGCGAAAAGTAATTTGGCCAAACGGAAGGATACCAATACACAATGTTACAATGTAGGTAGGTATGGTGTGAAAGCTTACCAGGCGGTGGTGCTGCAGCTTCAGCTGGTGCCGCCGCTGCCGGTGGGGGTGGTGTAGCCGCTTGGGCGTCTGTTAAAAAAAATAAAGTCAATTAATTATTTTATAAAAAATATTGTCACCGTAAAATTGAAAATTCCGTCAGATTTATAATCTGGCGTCTGAAAGTGTCTTGATAATCATTCGTTCGTTTGCCGAATGACGTCCACTGCTGGACAAAGGCCTCCACCAAGGATTTCCACAAAGACCTGTCCTGCGCCGCCCGTATCCAGGCATCTCCCGTGACCTTCATCAGATCGTCCTTACACCTAGTGGGAGGCCTGTCCACACTACGTCTTCCGGCTCGTGGTCGCCACTCGAGAACTTTTCTATCCCAGCGACCATCAGCTTTGCGATCTATGTGCCCCACCCACTGCCACTTGATTCTGCGGGCTGTGATATGTAACTTAACCCAGCCTGCACCTCCTCAAGCGTCTTATAGAAGTTGTTAGTCAACTCGTCCAGATCCTTGCGCATGTTCTCGATGTGTTTCTGTATGGCCCCGAGCTCCTCCTTGGAGGCGGACGGCGGTCCGGCGGGGGCGGCAGTAGATAATAACATGGAACTTACCAAACCCAGCCTGCACCTCCTCAAGCGTCTTTTAGGCCTCAGCCTCGAATTTAGCGGGCAGCGGGGCGGCGGCGGTAGCTGGGCGGGAGCGGCAGGATCTTATGCGTAAAATCAAATAGACCGACTCTCGAAAACAGCGGCGCGGGAGCGAGCAACGAGCGGGCAGCGGCGCGGGAGCGGGAAACGAGCGGGCAGCGCACTCCTTCTTTTGCCCACAATAAATCGAGCGTTAGGAATAAATTTGAATCGAAATAAAATTGTCGCCGTTGTTCAGACATTTCGTTTGCGAATAAAAACAAATATCTCGACAACACAACCACGAACACATCACTTCGCCGCTAAAGCGCCGCGCGAGCTGCCCGCTTGTTTCGAGAACAGGTCTGCGTTGCCCGCCCCGCTCCCACGCCGCTGCCCGCTAAATTCGAGGCTGAGGCCTTAGAAGTTGTTAGTCAACTCGTCCAGATCCCTGCCATGTTCTCGATGTGTTTCTGTATGGCCCCGAGCTCCTTGTTGGAGGCGGTCCGGCGGGGGCGGCGGGAGATAATAATATGGAACTTACCAAACCCTGCTTGCACCTCCTCAAGCGTCTTATAGAAGTTGTTAGTCAACACGTCCAGATCCCTGCGCATGTTCTCGATGTGTTTCTGTATGGCCCCGAGCTCCTCTTTGGAGGCGGGCGGCGGTCCGGCGGGGGCAGCTCAGGAGATAATAATATGGAACTTACCAAACCCAGCTTGCACCTCCTCAAGCGTCTTATAGAAGTTGTTAGTCAACTCGTCCAGATCCTTGCGCATGTTCTCGATGTGTTTCTGTATGGCCCCGAGCTCCTCCTTGGAGGCGGGCGGCGGTCCGGCGGGGGCGGCGGGAGATAATAATATGGAACTTACCAAAACCAGCCTGCACCTCCTCAAGCGTCTTATAGAAGTTGTTAGTCAACTCGTCCAGATCCTTGCGCATGTTCTCGATGTGTTTCTGTATGGCCCCAAGCTCTTCTTTGGAGGCGGGCGGCGGTCCGGCGGGGGCGGCGGGAGCGGCATCAGGCGCCGGCGCTGCAGGGGCCGCCGGAGCCGGTGCGGGCGCCGGCGCCGGTGCTGGAGGTGGTGCTGCTACTGGCCTGTGAAAAGAAAAGGGTAAGCCTTTACTATTATCACCTATTATCACTTTAGAGAAGGGACTGCGTTTGAAGATGGTAACTGGATCTTTGAGATTCAGTTTACTGGCTTTCCTAAAGCTTCAACCACATGCAGATCGCCTTTGTCATTAGTCTTTGATTTCGATTGCGATCTGCACGCGTTGGTGACGGTGAGGTTGAAGCTTTACTAAGATACAGCGTCATTGGTTTGGAAGACCAGGGTTTCCCAAACTTTTTTTTATTGTGACGTTCTTGGGAACTTGCCAGTTTCCTGCGACAACCCAGGGAGTTTGAGAAGCTCTGGGCTAGACTCATCAGTTAGATGAAGTAGAAGTATAAAGCTTAGAGAACTACGATTGGCAAATCTTACGCTTTAGAAGCGCGTCGTTTCAGTGCGTCCTGTAGTCCAGAAGTTTCCGATATGAGGTCCTGCACGAGCGAGCTAAGCTTGCTTATGCCTTCTTCTGTCGCCTCTAGTCGTGATGACACGTTCAGGGACGTCCACATGTCCGTTATCGCCTTCAAGTTGGTTTGTGATCTGTTGAGAAAGTATGAATAGACTTTATTATAGGTCTAACTTTGTCAGTGCTTGAGGTATAGGATGCCACTCCATGGAGGGTTTTTTTGGAACGTCAAAGTCAGCAAGACCTTCAGATTTATATGCTCTGTCACGTTGGGTTTAAGTAAGCAAAGTTTTCCGAACCTGCAACAGCAGCTGGTAGAATTGCCTGAAAAATTGTGTCAACACTTTTACCTGACTTCTTGTAGTATCTCCTCATTCTTAGGCATGCTTCCATACACTCGACTCTTGAGGTCTTCCACGGTGTTCTCCAATAGGTTGAACTTGCTCAGAGTGACCAGGGACAGTTTCTCTGATGAAGTGAGGCCGCGGGAAGGTCGTGGTGCGACTGATGAGGGGGCAGTGGGAGGTGGGGGAGGGGATCTGTCCCGAGCAGGGCTTCCTCGTATGGCTGGTGGTGGAAATTGCATTTTTATGTTGAGGAAATCAAAATACAATTTGAGGTGAAGGTAAAAAGTGATGAAGAATTTACTCACTGGTTGGCGAATCTGTTTTCTTCACTCTTTCCACTGAGAACAAAAGAAAAAAATATCATTAAACAGGTTCTACAGTTCCTAGGTAAGTAACTACCAAAGTTTTGTTCCTATCGTAAGTTTTAAATGTAGGACAGACTCACCAACTAAAATCGTCTCAGGTTCACTTGGCCGCGGACTTTGAGGAACAGCTGTAATTAACAAGAAATTAGTAACACACCTACAATAATGTAAGCAGTTTCAATTATTTGGTGCTCACTTATCTCGTTTTTCGCCACAATACCTGAAGCCTGAAAAAATAAAGTTTAAAATAAGTATTAGAACGCTGAACTTGTTCTCGATGATTTTGTCGTCGTAAGTACAATCCGCCATGATTTAAGGATTCTCAGATAGTTAACTTTTAGACGGCTCATTGTCTTATTGTAATTATATTTTCAGTTTACAAAATTTGCGAAAAGCCACGGTGAAACCGCACAACTTTAAGTTACATAGGAATTTGTTTATTATTAAACCTCAGGAAAATTAACTCTATAGGCAAACCTTATCGTCAGTGTCGACCAAGAACTCGCTGATCGCTATAGTCTGAACGTTCTCCCTGCCCACAGGCAGAGCAGCCACGCTGCCTCTCAACTCCACATTCTTGCCCAGGACTCGTAGTTGCTGGGCGAGGCAGTGCAGGACCGTTTGCAGCATGTTGAAGTCCACCACACCGACCTGAAGTCAACATAATCAACCTAAACGTCAGTGAAAAAGTTCAAACTCTTTTGTGAGAATTGGAGATTGGAATTAGATGATTCTCCGAATCTCCTATACGTCATATTTTGTTGTTAGATCATTTGACATTAAGCTTCTGCTTCGGAAAAAAATCACCAATTATTATACTTAGGCCTAGCCTAGAGTCTAGTCAAGTCTAGGCCCTAGACGAACGAAAGCCTATTAATTTTAGTCGTTTCGAATTGGAGCAGTACTTTTGCGAATTTCTGAATTTCTAAAGAAGAAAAAATACTAAGTATGCCGTGGATTTTCTGAAGTTGGCCTGAGGAAATTGAATAAGGAAGCTACCCAGTAAGTAAGTGAAATAGCTACCACTCTTATAATTTGCTATGCAGTTGTAGCATAGATGTACCTACATAGAGTTTCATTTTGTTCTTACCTCAGGCGTGCCGATCGCCAGATCGATCATATCGCTGATGTTCAGCAAGACAGCGGTCTCATCTGTTGAAAAGGTTGCATTCCTTGACAATTAGGAAGAACTATTGCTACCTAGTTAAGATTTATTACTTTCGACTTATCAATCCTACCTACCTGGCATATTTTTTTTGCTTTTATGTCATATTTTTTATTTCTTATTTAAAACTTGAAAATATCGATGATTTCAATTGGGAATTGAATCCACGATCTTTTCGCTTGCTGCTGGGCGACTGATCTAGGCACTGAGCAAACATTCGTCAGTTCTTACGGGAGACTTCTCGCGAGGCGGCAAGTAAGAGGTAAGTTTAATTAAATCTGAGGCAGTAGAGTAAAGTTCTACAATTTTATCGAGATAGGTAAAGTTAGCATCTTAAATACAAGAATTCTAATTACTACTGAATGGGTAAAGCTTGTAGAATGTAGAGTTGATCAGGACGTTTGACTGCAAAGGAAGACGGAGACCTACGCGGTATCTGGATGATGGCGTAAATGGGGGCAAAAGTCAATTGGCGGATCATTGCTCCTTCCACTAGCCCGATTGTGGGTGGCTGTTGACCCTATTGAAGAACACTCGGGACGTTGTTACATGATGTACGGTAGAAATGCTACTCAGTCACAGATAATAACAGATATGTTGCTACGTTTTCGCGCCGAATTTTGATATTGGAAAGATGAGAAGTTAGAAAGACAGACTAGCCCGATTGAGGGGTGGCTGTTGAGTGTTGACCCTTATTGAAGAACACTCGGGACGTGATGTACAGTAGAAATGCTACTCAGTTCTTCTGTTAGGTTTTAGCGCCGAAATTGCTAGACCATTTCTGTTATGAAAGACCACCATATTAGCGTTGATAAGTCAGAAGAGCACAGGGCATCTTCTACTTTGTAGAATGATTAATACTGGAACGCATTATTCTCATGGAACATAAACATCGGCATTTTGTATTACCTAAATAAAAGTATTTTCACTAGGGACTTGCTAGTAGTGGGGAATAGCGCTCGAGTAAAAATTACAGTGATTTATAACAGACCGACATCAGAAGAAAGCCATGGGGAAAAGCCTTGTATGTATACCGTTCTAGGCTCTCTAGATACACAGAAATCTGCCACTTCATACTATGAGGAATATAGAGGAATCAAAACTTACCCGCCATGGTTATTTTTTTTATCAAATTGCGTTATTTTAACAATAATCAATACAAACTAAAATAAATCGAAAATAATGAACATACAATAATTTACAAAATAACATTAGACATTTTGGTGATTTTACCACAAAATCGTTTGTCATTTAGATTACTTTTTAATTTCAATCAAGTACGATTATGAAGAGGTCTATCGCTAAAAAAGTTTTCATGAACAAATACGAATATTTTCAGTATTCTTACATCCTCTGGAACTTATTCATAATACAAGCCTCCAAATAGTAGGACATGTTTCTTTTTAAATCTCCCCGCAGACTAAAGACGGATACCAAATCTAATGTGCATAATTTTATGCATGTTCGTTCATACTGATTTTAACTGCCCGACTAAATCGCCTGATAAAAAGTCTGCAGTCCGTGAGGATGATGCTAAATCTGCAATTTATTGTAGATATTATCGTTTCGTACCTACTGAAATTTGCGAATTGAAATCAACTTCTTTGTTACATTGCAGCATTGTCCGGGACTAACCAGAAAGTCCTGTTTTTTTTCCAGAAGTATTTTAAACGTCAAGGGTATGGGTGCAAGCATTTCCCGCGCGGAGACCTGCCGCAACCTCCAACTTTGTGTGGCGTGCACTCGTTTTATTTTTGTTACGCGTTGGAGCTGGAACCCGTATTCATAGTCTGGCTGTAAAAATATTGCTTGTTAAGATATTTAAGATTTTGTTTGATGGATCACACGGGATTAGAGAATACAATCCCGGGATCCCGATTCCCGGGATCCCGGGATCCCGACCATTTTCTGATCCCGAAAATCCCGGGACTGTACTTGGCTAATCCCGGTATTTTCGGGATTGATATAAACAAGTCTATTTTGCATTCTACGATCCGTTGGGCCTTGACTAACCTTGCCTGGATTATACCTTAGCATAAAATTATACAGTGTGAGTCACGATAAAGTGCACATATAAAATTAGGTGAAACTAGACCTATTTTTATTGACAAAAAAGAGGTCAAAAAATTTCTGAGTTTTTTTTATTTTGTTATAGATTTTTTTTTCTTCCAATTACTTATTGTAAAGAAAACTTAATAATTTTTAAACTAAGAGGTATCTATACTAATACAATTATAAAGCTGAAGAGTTTGTTTATTTGTTTACTTGAACGCGCTAATCTCCGGAACTACTGATCCGATTTGAAAAATTCTTTCAGTGTTAGATAGCCCATTTATCGAGGAAGGCTATATAGGCTATACAACATCATGCTACGATCAATAGGAGTAGAGCAATAATGAAAAATGTTGCGAAAACGGGTTTTCACGCGTACGAAGTCGCGGGCACAGCTAGTATCCTGATAAAATAAAAACAGTAATAATGATAAATAACAGACGATACTAAAAAAATACATAAAATACTCAGAAAATGCCAACAAATAATAAAAAAATTATACTTTTTTTGATTTTTGAGTTTTTTTTTATTTGATAAATTTCTCCATAAAATGCCCTTATAACAGGTAGTTTTTATTACTTTGTATTATTCTCTATCGTATTACCTTCGTAAAACCAAAAATCGCATGTCTCTATCCCTATCACGTTTGCAATTATCGAACCCAATTCCCACATAAGGCTGATCCCGGGATAGTCCCGGGATCCCGGGATTAGCCATCAAAAATCCCGTAATCCCGGGATTGAAAAACATGGTCGGGATTGTATTCTCTACACGGGATGCATCGTCCTCTTAATTTGCTAAGTTATTATACTCGTAAATATTCTGGTCTATAGTATTTTACGGCAGTGCCGACAATCTGCGTCCCGCCCGTTGTTAATTCGTGATATCATATCAATGCATCATGTTTTCCCATAACTACCCAGGTATATCTACATTGTTCGAAGTTCCCGCGTAGTATTAGTAACATACTTACACGTGCTTACACTGTCTTTGCAGGAAAATATGCATGTGTGACTATTTAGAATGCCTATTATGTAATCGAGTCACGTATTCGCGAATAGCGTTTCCAATGAATTATTAAGTCATCTTGCTAATTGTTTTAAGTACTTACTTACCCCATTGTTTAAGAACGTGTAAGTACTAAGTAAGTAGGTATTATTGAAATATTCTGTGCCATTTTATGCCAATAAAATTATGATATGGTACGATAAAGGCAAACTTTGTTAGCTGTCAAAACAATTTATTAAGTTTGCTCATACTTTAAAAGCTCTTGGTTGGTTAAGTAGCCTGCGTTCGTGTCAAAAGGCTAATATAAGTAGGTAGTTTTTTTAGGATAAGTGTTCTCTTGCGGAAAATTAATGGTTCAAAAACTATGGGTACTCTACCTACTGCCCACTTCAATATTAAAGCTAAATGGGGCAGCAGGGGTGCTGCCCTATCGTTTCCCGAAATTGCTAGGATTTAAGCTAATAGAGCGGAGACGAAACAAAATTGGTTGTCGATTTCTATACAGGGTTATTTTTGAAAATAGTAGCCAAATCTCATAAAGTTTGAATGAGAACAGCAGAATTTTTGGACATGGGACTTCGAAGACGGCCCTGATGATCGAAGCACTCGAATATCCTACATTGTTGTACGATGTTATGTAAGTAGGATATATTTTCAATTTCTTGCCCAATGCCCAAATAGGAGTGAGGTAATGTGTATGAATAGGGCAGATCCTCCGTTCCTGTAATAGGATTTAAGAGAGGCGAGCGGTTTGCGCCCCGTCTCTATTTTAAGCTTCGGTGGTGACTCTTGAGTGCTTTGCCGTGTTGTCCGCGGCTTCTATCCGGCTTTGACTTGGTGGTACTTCCCGTCATCTTGGAGGCTCGAGGGTACTATGATGCTTAGTTTGTCGAGTGTAACAATGTTTGGACAGTCGGGAGTTCAATTTTTAAAGGTCACACTCGATAAATCCTTAACATTTTACTCTGTGTCATCTAGACATAAAAAGCTTTGCTTTTTTGGGATTAGATAGCCGGGATTGGGACCAGACGACACAAGTCATACTTAAATAGGTAGGTAGTATTGATATGGGTTAGTTAATATTATTATTGCCTGTAAGAACAAAAATATCTGTTTGTATTATTATTATAAAGAGCTGTGGTTTTCTGAACAAAGAAAAAAAATAAAATACATACAGGATATGGGTGGATTAATACATAGGTGTGATCATCATGCACACAAATACATATTTGCCTATTGTGTGGGGATCGAACCCGCGACCTATTGTACAATAGCCTGCTCCGCGAACCACTAGGCCTGGCGGCTGACTGACATAGCGCGAAACACACTGAGTTCCAACAGTTAGAGGTAAGATAGCCAGTTCCTCCGTGGTTGAGGATTCCGGGTGAAGCTCGCTTCCACCTTCGGCCTGATCATCACTTACCATCAGGTGAGATACAGGCCAAGAGCTTACTCGTTGTGGATAAAAAAAAACTTCGTGCCGGTATTGGTATAGTCTGAATACCGGTACCAGGAGCGTTCTGGGACTCTGGGTGTGGATTGTTGTAATATTCGAGATGCCTCATGCCACACAGAAACCGGCCGCGGCGCGGTGGCGTACCGGTGCAACTTTGCTTCCCGCGGGTCTGTTACCAGACCTCTTACCGCTTCAACGTATGTTAACGCTTTTTTCTGGCGGTCATATGCTTTTAAAAGCAGTAGATGATTACCGACGAAATTCAAACTAAGAAGGCGCTGATCACCATCAAGTCGATACTGTCTAGTCTCTGCCTATTTAGAGAGAAATCCTTCTTGTCTCCCAGACCATTCAAAGAGTCATATGCTGCAATGCCAGCCATATGGGCACCAAGCATTCCTGAGATCAGCACTGAGCATTATTTTTCTGTAAATTAGTTTTAGCTTCAGCCATAGCTATAAGGACGTCCATTTCTGAAAATAGGCCTTCCCCAAATCAGTGTTTAATTACATGTAGTTTTCTCATCTATAGCAATAAATATTGCGATGAAATCCATAGTAATTAGTTTATTTACATTCAAGGTTATTAATAGAATACATCTTAGTCGAGAAAGCATTCAGATAGCTCTAAAGCACGTTATTCATTGCCTACTGTAAAATGATTATTCAAACCGGAAATTAAAATCTCCTAACTCAAAATATTATATTATGGACTGTGACAGAGAACAAATTGCTTTAGTTACAATGGTAACAAAATGGTATTAGTATTTGCAATACCTATCTATACTAATCTATACTACTAATATGTTGAAGAGTTTGTTTGCTCCAACGCGCTAAACTTAGGAACTACTGGTTCGATTTTAAAAATTGTTTTTGTGTTGGATAGCTTATTTATTGAGGAAGGCTTAAAGGCTATAGTACATATAACATCACTCTACAGCCGATAGGGACGGAGCAGTAAAGAAAAATGTTGCAAAAATGGTAAATATTATTCAAACTTTTCACGCGTTCGAAGTCGCAGGCACAGCTAATATAATAATATTCTAGGTTTATTTTATAGATAGGTAATAGGCACACCTACGCTCATAAGTATTAGTATCACTATTAAAATTTTACGACCATTCGTTTTCGTATTTGCTCTAGGAAGTTTAGGAACGGACGGCCTGGATTGTTAATTGCTAAAATTAGGACTTGGATTTGTGGAGGAGCATTGCTAGAGAAATTAGCCAGTTTAATTTGGGGCTTGTGAGTACATACATTTTTAACTCACTTCTAAAATGGAGGAGGTTCTTTATTAGATTGGTACCTATGTTGATAGCCAATATTACTACTTATTTCAATATGTACAGAATCATCAGATGATGATTTAAATTGTAAAAATTGAAATAATGGGTTCAGTGTGGTTTGATTTGACAGTACAGCACAGATTCCTGGCCCTTAATCCATAAATATTGATCTAGGATGTTTTCGGACAAGATAAAGCAGGAAAACAATGCCTGTTTGACTTGGGTGCCCGAATCGGTGGGGTCAGTTTGCACCTGTCATTAGTCGCCCGCTAAAAAGATCCCATTGTTTACCCTGTCCATTATCGGTAACCGCGTTCCTTACCAAACAGACTACAACAAGCGCCGATGCAATTTACGTGATCTCCAATGGTAGATAATGTACCCAAATTACAGTGTGGCGTGCGAACAGTGTTCGGCTCGGCATTCTTGTTCTTTAACTAGCCTAAATCCGTTGCAGCGATGAGAGATGGTCTCTGAAACGCGTACCTGCCGGTGCATACTGTTAGCTCGGTTCATATTTCGCCGAAATGTGAGGCTTCTCTTGTTTTTTAACCGGCAGGTGACCGGTTGCGCGAGAGAGACGGCCGTTCCTCCCGCGGCAAAGCTCGAGGATCGAGTCGACGCGACTGAAATCGAGATTTTGGCCATTCGAGAATCGAGACAGTCTTGCTTCGGCTCTCGGAGGGGCCGGACGCGTCGCGCGCGTTCCCTTACAACTTCTCGTAAAAACTTTACGTATAATACTTCGCTGTATAATACACATAGTTAGACACTAGAACTGTTAATAACATTTTTGTGTTCTGCATTTGGTTAAACTGCTTCGTATTTTAGTTAAGTGTTTAGTTTATTTCTGGTCCTGACCAGTTTAAATAAGATCGTTTCTTCATTTTGGTGGAAAGCATCGGTACTGAGTGTATGCGTGCAGATCCTGTTGCACCTTTAGTAACGGTGAGTATTTTTAAACGCAGTTGCATTTTAGAAATTTTAAGGCTATCATAGAATTTAATTTGAACGCTTTATTTGTGTAGTGATAAATAGAAACGTGTAAGCAGTGTTCCAAATAATAAAGACAAATAGACACAATGATGTACGAGTAGGTATTCGACGTGTTAACTACGTAAGTAAAGTATGTGTACAAAGTTATATATAGGTACCTATGAATCGTAAATCTCTGCAACATAATAAGCATTTTGAAGTTAAAATAAAACATTCATATCTAGATAAATATTTGAAAATCGTCAATGGTTATTTAAACATCTGATTTAAAAAGTTTGCCTAGGTACATGGTTAAATTAGTTGTTATTGTTACCTATCTTGTATTTGGATTTTTTTGTGTGCATTGTAACTTTTATGTAATGTTTTTATTTGCCTGTATTCTCGTGTAATCTTTGCACACCTTCCTGTAAATCTGTGCCTTCACCAACCTTCGCTTGTTCTCCGGTATCGTGAACTAAAACATAAAGGTCACTAAATGTCAGGTGCTCTGCACCTCTGTATGCAGTTTTCTCTTTTTAATAATTGGGCCTCCATGATTGTTGGCCTTTTGGGAATTTTGGCAGCTAGTTCCTGAGCGGTGAAACCCCTTGATGGTTTTTTTCGTACCTACCATTAATGGCGGAAAAATCGTAAATTTATTCTTACTGCTTCATGTAAAACTAGACGTTTGGTTTTTATTACCGTGACGACTTTGTATAGGAGCATACCTACTACCGGTGGCTGGGGGCAATTGGTTTAAATTGAATCTACTGCTATGATCGCCGAAGAGAATCCGAATTAGGTACATTAGGTAATTTATTCTTTAAAAAGCCTATAATATAAGAATTGTATTTTTGAATGTCAATTGATGTTCTTATCTCCTTGGTGAAAGAGTTTTTCACTTCGCACGTGTTTTGAAAGGTTTAACAGCTTTGAGCTTTGACCTTTTGGGGATATTGGCATTCGTTTCTCATGTGGACTAATAGTAACCTCCTATCTATCTAGAACTTAAGTGTTCTCTTAAAGAAAGAAGAAGAATATAAAGAAATCTCAAGAATAACTATTCTAATGAATAATATTATTTTCTTTCATGTTTTGATTAAGTTTTGCATTTTTCTACTTCAGTACGTAGCTCCTACATACTTATCTTCATCTTTTGCTAAATAGTTTTCATAATTTTTCAGCAATTTGCTATTCATATAGTAGGTATGCTTTCGCTTCTCTGTCTGAGTTTCTTGTGTTGCTTTTTGGGCCAATGCTGGCCCATAGTATTACTGTCCCCAAGAAGTGGTAGGGTTGGGACGTGTAAAAGTGCTGGTTTTTGGATGCCTACATGAATAACTAAACGATTTGATTTGTCTTTTAAACAATTTTACGGTTTTCATTCCCAAAGAAATAACAAATAGCGGTTCCAGGCAAAGCCTATTTACAACTTGGAATGAATATTTAAATGTTTTTAAACTCCCATGCGATTGCTGGCCGCATGGGTGGTGACTGGTGAGCACATGAGGTACAAATTGCCCTAAAAGCTGGCGGCGGGCCTTGTTCCCTAATGAATAAACAAGTGAAATCGTTAAGTTAGCATAAGTTATGTGGCTTAGGTGGTCTACACAGGCAGCCGGTGCCGTATTCATAGGCTTTTGCATTTGATAAAATGGAGGAATGTGGCTGGCTTTTGTTGGGAGTTCAGATTTGTTTTCTTTCAAAACTTCTTATTAAAAATTCATTGAGCTTCTTTCTTACTTTCTACCAATAGTAAATCATCTATAATATCAGGAAAGGAAAGATTATTATGTCAATCAGGAATCCTGTATCCATTTAGTTCTGAGAAACATAAGAAGTAATATTACAAACTAAATTGTGGGTTCTACAGCCCTGCAGGAAGGGTCGTCATTGTCAGCACGAAATGTCAGTCCATTGCCCAACATAGGTTTTCCCCAACGCATGGACTCTACTGAACCCGACTTTACCAGTTTTAAAATAAGTAGAAGGAATCCAATATTGTTTATGTTAACTATCATTAGCAAAATTACAGCTTAATAATATTGAATCGATTTTCCTACTTCAGTTCCAAAATTGGCACATGCTAATTCAATGACAGGAATTCTACGAATATCTCTACATTTATTCACAAGTGCTATTCATTTCAGAGTATTTATAAGAACACCTAAGTTATCGATTTGTTAAAGATCTGGAATGAAGAGAAGTTCCTAACTAAACAATGTGGTATCTTCTTCGTCAGTAGTTTCGCTCTTGGCAGAGCGGTCGTGGTCACGTTGAGCCGTTCATGTTGGTTGTAGAGGTGGATATAGCTCTCCGCACGATCACCCACCATCTCTCCCTGTTGGCAGACTGCTTGGTGCAGTCAGGTAGGTATGCGGTTTCCTACTGCCGAAATTACTTGATCAGTCCGCACAGGTGATATAATCCTTTACTTTTCTCTGAAAGACCAGTCACTCCATGGAGTGGTAGTTGTAATAAGTGGAATTTTGCAACCAAAATGAATATTCTGATGTGCTGTAGAGTTGTCTGCTCTATATTCCCGATATCCATGTTGGGTGACCTGCAACCGAGACCGACGAGCCGACAAAGCCCGATTGAATCACAATGGGCCTCCGCCATGGTCCGCGGGCGACCCGACGCGAACGCCCGATAATATCAGCCATTAATTTGTTCCCATTCTGACCCACTTTGCATTGGTATTTTTAGTCACGGTCGTCGTCACTTATCCATTAGAGATAATGTTCGTAATTGAATTTTAAGTAATTGTATAACGCTATGACAGTCAGATTTTTTCCCTCACTATAAATAAGTCCAGCGTGATAAGCGTCAATAACAACAGTATACAGGGTGTTAGGTAAATGGGTATATGAGCCGACACTAGCCCATGTTAACATATGCATTTAAATGGTATAGTGAAGTCTGAAAATTGATATCATAATTTTAATTATTTTAATTTTCATACAAATCTGATTTTATAAATTTTATTTTGTATGAAATAAAATGTAAACTGACAGAGTTCACAATTTCACGTTGACATATTATGCAAAATGTTAACATGGGCTAGTTTCGGCTCATATACCCATTTACCTAACACCCTGTATAAATCTTTAATGATACGGGATTGTTTTGTCAGTGGAAACCTACTTACGACGTAAATGAGCAAGTAGATAAATATTTCGATTTAAGTTAAACCACTTCTTCCTGGTGATACATTTTCATAAATCATCTGTTTCCGAGCTGTGACCATGTAGGTATCATTAGTAATATTCATGTAGTTTTTGTTTTGCTCTGTTCACGGTTCTATCGGTAATTAATATTCAAGATAAAAACACCTTTTTTGTAAAACTTCATTGAGAGCTGCAAAAAAGCTGAATAATGACAAGCAAGATACATTTTTCTTGCACTCCTCGTACCAAATGCAAAATTATGGAGATGGATAGAGTAAGTTAACTACAGGTTTCTATATTATTACTTATTATAATTCATCGTCTTGAAAAATCGATAAAGTAATAAATGAACCAGCTTTATAACTTTCATCGAGTAACGCAGCATTAATTTGCTAAGTAATTATAATTATTTCTGTTTATATTGAATAATAATTACGAGTAGGTATATGCAAATGATATAAATAGCAATCTTTAACTAACCGTCTCTAATTTTTTCGACCCATTGCAAACTTTTTAATATCTAGCATATTAATAGGTACGAGTAGGTATTCATCCTACGACGTTTCGGCACGTGAACAAGCTTGAAATATTAATTAAAATAATCTTAAGTCGTTGACCTAAGTTTCAATAGTTTATCCCTACTAATATAAATGCGAAAGTAACTCTGTCTGTCTGTGTTGCTTTCACGCCTAAACCACTGAACCGATTTTTATGTTTGGTATGGATGTAGTTTGTATCCCGAGAAAGGAAATAGGATAGTTTTTATCCCGGTTTTTGAAACAGGAACGCGCGATAAAGTTTTTCTGTGACAGACAAAATATCACACGGGTGAAGTCGCGGGTGGAAATATTGTTGATAACGTGTCAGGTAAAAATGTTTTTATTTTGTTTTTAAACTTGGTTATCTCTAGCAATTAAACTGGGTTTTATTTTTGCGGATTCACAGCTCGGTGTGTTGATACGAGAGTGGCAGGTGATTGGATTAAATTTTGACACTCGCTAAAAAACTGCGAAATGGCAAAAAGCTCAGTTGTCCCAGATAAAAGCTATCTACCACTAACACCTCGCTGCTAAGCTTCTGCCCGGTGAAAACTACCTATTCATACTTTGTTCATTTGGTACCTACAGTCAGCGTCAAAGTAGGTTGTGACACCTAAAGTGACCAAAAGTTGACACAACCTTATTCCAATTGTAACAAAGACGTACTCGTACATGAATTTCAGTCTCCTGTAAAATTGACATACCTATTTGTTGGAACATATTTGGCTGACGTCTAGGCAAGCAAGGTGTCGCTCCTGGGAAATAAACAAGTTTTACTAATTCATACACGAAGTGCACTCAGTGCACTGCTCAATGTTGGAACAGTCCGCGTCAAATTGTCCGTGACACCCAAAGTAACCAAAAGTTCGCGTATTTTACAGATTTTTAACACCTGCGTTTACTTATTCTATCAACGCATAGCCTTAGAATGTGCTCTCTCTCACGACATATGCAGAAATTTAATTTTGTAGGATCTTTGCAAACCCCTGCGATGAAGTGTGGGGTTAAGTTTAAAACCTTTCGTGCTTGGTTAACTTATTTACATAGATATTAAAGTGACTTGCGAACTTTTTGGTTTCAGACTAGGACAATTTGGAATGTCGACTATATCCGTCTCTCTCACAAATACCAGCATACCTGTCTGCGTGACAGAGATGGAATGAGGTGTATATTGAAATCGTGAAGTGGTTCGAAAGCGACTGGTTTAAGTAGATAATGGTGGAGCCCCAGGCGTGGACTATTTGAAATGAGTTTCACACGGCAC